ATTGACCCATGTCACTGTTATATTGTTGACTAATTATTGCATTAATATGTACCATAGTCATACACTTAGGTAGTTTAATTAATAGCAAAGCATCATATTTTAAAAACAGATTGTATGTGAAATCTTAATCTGAAAAATAACCAGTAACTATAGCTGCTAAATAAATGGAGTAAAAAGTAAAATATTTCCTTTTAAAAGGTAGTTAAGCAGTATAAAATGGAAATCTCAAAATTGTACTTATTGCAAGTGCAGTATTTGTCAGACAGATGTTGTTAGGTCAGATGCTGTTAGTTCATTTAAAAGCCTGGTTTCATCATACATAAATTGATTAGTGTCTGTTTAACACACCATTGCCCTTGTTCACTAAATGTGGAGTGTGTTTAACGTGTCGATATGTGCAGTGAGGACTAATTCCATGCATTGGTTTTAGCTAATTGAGTCATTCTGATTCTAGTCATGGCTTTCACAAGTATTGAGGGAGAGAACATCCCTGCTTTACAATGGGACGCTTTGAGCAATGTAGAGCCCAACAGCAGTCACAAGGACAGTGGGTCCAGTGGATGAATAGCGTGGAAATAAACAGTCCACCTGTCAGTAACCAAACTTGAGATCATGAGTTGGAACCACAGCGAGGTAAGCAGGTACGGATTTATGAAGGACTAGAAGCTCCAGAGGGCCCAAAACAAACACCCACCTACTTTGAAAACTTGCTGATTTTTCTGTTTTTCTTTCATAAAATGCTGGTCAGGTTTTTTGGGCCTCTGGGGAAAAATAAATAAATATATATATATATATATATATATATATATATATATATATATATATATATATATATATATATATATATATATATATATATATATATATAACCTCAGAATGTCTGATAATATGTCTTTACTCATTTTGCAGACTGGAAAATATAGAAGGTGGTATTGTGAAGAGAGGGGTATTTTTTTTTTTTTACCCTCCTTTTTTTAAAATTGCTCCAGGCCAGTCAATGTCACTAAGCCCAGATGGAGACCGTGAAAAGCTTCTTTGCATCAAGTGCAAAGAGTATTTTGTAAATCAGACACATCCTGCACTGTTTGCATGCAAACCATGGAGGGGCGAAGGGGACGTGGGTTCATGTTGGATAACTGGAGGTGTGTGTGTGTGTGTGTGTGTGTGTGTGTATGTGTGTGTGTGTGTGTGTGTGTGTGTGTGTGTGTGTGTGTGTAAGAGAGGAAACAATAGCGCTGTCTGTTTCTGTAGACAGTGAGAGCTTGGAGAGGATGCGTTCAGGCGTAGACTTTACACAGTACCATAGTTGTGCACGGCGATATCAGTCAAGGAGAGACTAAAACATAAACACACAGAATTGTGCTCACATCTCTCACACAGCAGGATGTACACAGGCACAGGCCACACGCTAACTGTGCCCATACATTGCAACACTCACACATGCTGAGGTGGAACATATCACAACACACCAAACATGGAGACATGCACATGTTAAACAGTAACCTTGCATGCAGCACACACACGCACTAAACATGGTTGTAAACACACATTCTTATGGATTATAATGAAAGCCCCCCCCCCCCCCCCCCCCCCCCAGCTGGCCTTTATCTCTGTCCTCTCCAATTTCTCCCAAGTACACAATGACATTAGAGCGGGCCTGCTGTCATATACAGAGCAACAGCCAAGCTCAGAAAATCTGGCTTGTTTTGTTTTGCTTTGTCAGAGACCTTCACAATGTCCTTCCATTAACCAATGTGTGTGTGTAAGAGAGAAAAACTCCCACTTCAGTACCACTCTGCTGTAGTCCTGCATGACTCACACCTCTTACAGTGATGTCTGACCACAGTGACACAGCTAAAGAGCCCTCTGTAGTGCTGAAACCTCTCTGTTGCATCTTTTCTTTTGTACTGTTGTCACTAACAGTTAACCATGCAACGTAGATGCAAGCTCTTGGTGTGTATTCCTGTAATAGTCAATGGTCTGTGCAGGTAGCTAGCCTGGAAGTGGACATGCTATTATTTATTTCTTTTGCCATAAATCCAAACTCTCAGGTTGTTTTGTTTGTTTCTTTCTGGGAACACCTTGATTTGATTTCATCTGAACTCTGAAGTGATGCAGTAAATTGCTATGATTAATACATGTCATCCAGTCTGACTTTTTGTTGCAAGAATGAGATAAAATTTAATATCCAGACTCTTGTCATGAAGCAGCAGTGAGTGAGGGCTCTGCTCGGAGAGAGCCAGTCTCATCAACATTATATTGATTCTCTTGTGCCTTTTGATTTCAAGTATCACTGGCCAGTGTGGTGAATATGAGCCTGCTTTATTCAGCTTTACTGCCCAGAAGGAGCACTGAGACGGTGAAAACATTCATAAGTGATTAGTACAGTTTGTCAGTAATAGAGCTCACCTCAGTCTCACTGCTGGGATTGAGGTGAATATGTGACTGACAAGGCAGATTCATCACTGCCTGGGGCTCACCCATCTGTCAGATGACTTTAATCCTAGAAGAAATGCATTGTCAGTTCTGTGATTGTTGCAGTAAATTCAGTTTAACTTTAGCAGATTAACTTGAGTAAATAACTGCTGGATCTAGGGAAAATCTGTTCCACAATTAGCTTATGTTGGTGGAAATACTTTCATATGAAAAGGATGTTATTTCAGATTTGTCCTTTGACCGAGCCCTTTTACAAATGTGATTGGTCTCATTGGCTTGTTAATGGTTCTTTTGACTGGCGCTGGTTTCTTTGCATGAATGTGGTCGTTGTCTCTTCCCCATGCAGTGTTTCGCCTGTTCAGACTCTTTTTAATGCTCCTTCCATCTCTTCCCCTGCAGGCTATTTTTCTGCTCTCCTTGTTTTGTTGTACATGTCTGCTTCATATGTAGGCTATTGTATGTTTTTATCTCAACCTTCACGGCTGATTACACAGCCATCGTTAAATCAATGCATTGCATTGATTCTTAGTTTTCTAATAAATGTACCTCAATGTAATTCACTGTATTCACTACTGTGTATTTTCTATCTGGGATTTCTCTCCTCCTCATTATATTGTACGTATTATTCATGAGTTATTATTAGCTGCTCATCAGCTACACGTGTGTGTGTGTGTGTGTGTGTGTGTGTGTGTGTGTGTGTGTGTGTGTGTGTGTGTGTGTGTGTGTGGCCAGCAGTGATTTCCACAGGACTCCCCCAGTAAGAGAGCTGCCATCCATAATGCAGAGGAGGTAGAGTCAGGGGAATGGACTGTGTCTCTGCATTTTGCTTCCTATTACAGATGAGCAACTTGGCCTTTTACCTCTTAATCTCCACTGACTTTTTGTAACTTCTACTCAGCTTCCTCTCTGATTCCTGGCTGCAACACAGTGAGAGAAAGAAAGAAGCAGAGTTTGTATATGTATACTCTGTGTGTTTGCGGCCATAGCCAAGCTCTGGGATGTTTGTTTTCCCCTGGTATGTGTGAAAAATTCACACCATCCCTTTTTAATATCTAGCTCTCCATCTTCTGCATGTATTTGTAATGATTAATATAATGAGGGAAAGCAAAGCACGGGGTCTAGATATGCAAGTTAAATGTTACACTCAAGACACAAATGCCTCTCCCTTGTATGCCCTTAACCAAGCAAACACGAAAGACACATACACAAGTTTATAAAACCCCCACTCAATCAAGAATCCATTCACAGTGCCTTTGGCCCAAACAGTACAGTTACATCTATTCTCCAATGGCTGAAAAAGGTTTTTTCTTCCATCACTTCCTGAGTTCACATGAGATGGGAGACGAGTAAAAGCTCCCTAAAGTCTCCTGTTCATAGCCAGTGGCTTCAGCTCTTTATAACCTCAGTGACACCTGCCTTACCTCCCTGAACTCACTCACTTATTCATCTGGTTTATTTATGATCTGATTGATTTATTATCTTTTAATGCACACTAATCGCTCAGGAGGTGTGACCCTGACTGAGTCCTTCTAAAAGCCGCACAGTCTGACATAAACACTGCTGACAGGTTCGTTCTCTAAATGCAACATATGAGTATCTCTGTGGAATTCACATCAAATCTATCAATCGCAACAGTTTATCACATCAACAACATTGTTACCACTTCAAGCATCACTGGACAAATGTTTATCTTAGTGAGAGCAGTGTCTGTATGCAGTGACGGACTTTGATGTTCTCAGTCAGGATGATGTCATTACAGTGACTAATGGCCACTCCTTCATAGTAGCTATTTGAGCGAGGGTGTGGAGCGGCATTGTTGGCATCTTCATGTGGATTGGACCAGTATGACCAGTTCACTTGTGTTCAGTCCATCAAGCCAAACATGACATCTCGCGGCTTTGCTATTTTCAAATAAGTGCACAAATTAAAAATACAAAGGATTAGGATGTTTGTACATGGGGGGGACTATGATGTCTCATTCATTTGTTTGTCTGTTGGAGTTGGGCGCCACTCAGCCAAAACAATATTGACATAAAAGTCACAGCATTATCTTGATATCAATGTGTTCTGAGATTTACTGACATATTCAAAATCACAGAAATCTTTTTATTTATTTTTTTTTTTTTTACAGAAAACTGTGATACATTATAGTTTCCATTTTTAAAAACCTGTCTTTTTGTGCTGAAACATCAAAACAGTTGTCAAGTCATTCATCAAGCAGAAACAACCTTCTCAAATGTGGGGATTTGTTTCATATAAATCCCCACATTTCATATATTTTATATCTTTTGGGTTTAGAATACTGATCAGACAAAACAAGAGTTTCAAAGACGTCACGTAAAGCTCTGGGAAATTGTGATTAAGAAAATATAAATTATGGACTGATTACTTCATAATTTTTGTTTGTTACAATCCAACTATTATTTCAAAGATACAAGGCCAGACATATTATTCCATGAAGCCACAAGTTTTGTACAGTTGGAGGACATATTTGTTTTAACTGCTGCTTTTTTATTAATCTGTGGTCAGCCATTGTCATTCAGCTTTTTCTTCATCCTTAACAGGTTTGAAGACCTCTGATCATATTGGCTCCACAGCCAGCCAGGTGGCCAATCGGGCGATACTGAGGAGGGGGACCAACAGTGAGATTGGAAGATCCTCTTTCCTCACCAAAACTGCTTCACCCATCCCAATCCATCGCCACCGCCATGTCTATGCCCAGCGGAAGCCCAGAAAGAGAGGGCTTAAGTGCGCCTCTCCCTCAGCTAGAGTGCCCTTCTTCCCCTCCAGGCATGGACCCAGACCCCCTGTCAACAGGCAGCCCAGTGCTCAGCCCAGACTCATCTTCCCATGATGCAGCACTGTCGGCACCAGCAGCCTCCCCAGCAGACTCAGAGAACCTGAGTCCTGATGAACTGGAGCTGCTGGCCAAACTGGAGGAGCAGAACAGGTGAGATGAGTAGCACTTTGTGTTTAACTTTTGAAGTAAAAACTAAACATATTCATAACAACATAACTTATTATAGTTGTACAGTAGCAGGTGCAACAAATTAATAATGAAGGAATAGGTATATTTATACTTCCTAATAATTGACTGTTTGCCTTGTCCCTTCATAGCTTATCAACCCAAGCTAGGTCTGCCAAGCTTTGGGTTTCTCCACATGCTGAAGCAGTTCAGAGAGTTTGAAAGGTCTTTTTTTGGTCATTTTCAAAACCAAAAACACACGAGCCAAAGAAAAATGTCCAGCTAATTATGTTAATTACCAGGCCAAGAAGCACATCATATATTGTTTTTTTGGTGGCCCCACTGTGTGAAAACTAGTGCAGGATGCTGTCCAAGATAACTTTAGCAGCTCTGTCCTGGTCCTTTTTGAGCACGGTAAAGTTTTTATGGGAACCAACAATACCCAAGATAGTTTACATTGGTTAAATACATCAGTTAGTCCTCATCCTAAAAGCCATTCAGCATGTTAAAAGTACTGTTAAAATGTATGTACACACAGGGTTGTGTTTGAATGAAACAGTCTGTTCTTATTTTTCCTGATCATACATCAAGTACTACAATTAACAACAACGCAACTTTATTCTCAGTCTTTTAGCACACTGTAATGTTTGTAACCATCCAGTGCATATTTAAGACCCTTTTTAAAGCGTTCTGGTTTTAAAACTATTCTGCTTGAAACATTTAAAAGCCAGCAAGTCAGTCAAGTTTTCAGTTCATAGTAAGAACGTTAGCCCAGTTGGCTTGCTAGTTACAATGAGAAGCTTGCCTTTTCTGCCTGTGTATAAAATCACAAACCGATTGTTTAGAAAATTAAGAATTAGAATGGTAAATCTGCCACCATTATCACCTTTAAACTACACAAACAAGTATGTAAGGTTTGACGGACATAGCAACACTAACTAAAGGTCAGTTGTGACAAAAGTAATCAGTGTCAAACCTGTAAGGTAGGGTGAATGAGCAACATTAAAATGAAAGAATAATTTCACCAACAAACCAAACATGGACTAGAAAGGTATAAACTGTATATAGTTGACGCTTGAAATAAAATCTCTTGACCGAAAAAGGACACAACTCAAGAATAAAGGTGACAGAATGGATCAATGAATGTTCGAAGTGTAGTTACAATTTGACTTCAGAAGCTGAAGTGCAGAAAATAATGAGGGTTGACAGTAGTGTTAAAACAGTATCTAATTAATGAGATGGTCTAATGTGGGAGATAATTATAATACACTTTATGGTAGGCAATGAAAAACACAGTCTCTATAAAGAAGAAAGTTGTACAGATTGTCAGCAAACTAGATATCACCCTGACGTTTCACCAGGAACACCTGTGTGTGTGTGTGTGTGTGTGTGTGTGTGTGTGTGTGTGTGTGTGTGTGTGAGTTGTGACCCTATACAGAGTACATCTTCTGCATTAAACCCTCAAATATTGTGCAGTACATAGCAACCACTGAAATTACCGTCCTTAGTTTAATACCTAGTTGAAAATAAACCAAATATTGGAGAAACAACCAGAAGTCTGCTGAGCTAATGAAGAAAGTCTGTCCTTCACTGGCCATGCTAGAGCTTTTAAATTAATCTCTCCCTGAAAAAATTCAGGAGCACTTGAACATATCAGAAATTGCTGTATATTGTGAGGCTTAAAGTGTCACTCGAACCTAGTCTATTTTTTGTATGAGACGATTGAGATTTATGAAGTGTATTCAGCCCTATGACTGTTTTGAGGGGGAAAAAGTGAAGCATACAGATGGATAGCAGAGAAATTAATTATGCAACAGGAGATGTTTTAAAACGTTTCTATGGATGCAGACTGCAGCCACTGTGCTGCATTTAACTATGAAACAAAAAGTTTTACAGTCACCTTTTAAGTCCACAGTTTGATACTCATATAATGGATTTCGGCTGCTCCAAGGCTGTGGTCACAGTGATTTCTGGAGAAATATTGTAATACTGTGTTTTGCGCAGACCCCTTTGGGCTTGAAATATTGTCACTGTTCAGGTGTGTGTGCAACCAGTCTAGTGCAAAGGGATTTGTGTAAAATGACCACAAGTCAATGTCAATTTGACCTAGAATCACAAATGTGCATGTCCTACATCTGCAAGAAAAACACTGGGTAATAACAACAAATGGGTTTGTAGGTTAGTGTTGTAGAAAACCATAATAGGTGGTCACTGGGCACTACATCAGTATTTCTTTTAACTTATTATTTATTATATATTATTCTTATTTAGGAACATTTTAAATTTGAGAAGAAAGACAGAAGGACTAGGATAAGGTAACCAATTGTACATATGTAAAGTTCATTACACAGTGATTTAGGCACTGTACACTTAGTATTGAAAACAAAAAGGAGAAATAAAGAAATGTATTGTAAAAAGATCATTAATCACTTTCCTGAGGGTAACAATCACATTTCATCCAGTGGTTGTCATACAGTGTATATATATTTTAGGGCTGAACGATTTTGAAAAGGGCTCTAATTGCGATTATTTTGACTGATATTGCAATATGACTTGTGATATTGGAGGGAGTTATAATTTTTACACCTTTATTCTCATTTTCATTGAAAAACATATTTAAATACATTATGGTGTGATTTTTGCAAGGATCTGTACCGAACAAAGTTCTTTTCTTGAGTCTGTAGAATATATTGTGTAGGCCAGGACATATCTGCAGCAGGACAATACGTAATTAAAAATGGTACTTTGACACACATTTTACCTTTTAATAAATATTACGCCTCCTGCAATTTAAAAATTGTATTAGGCCATATTGGGATTTTGATAAGATTTCAATTAATTGTTCAGCTCTAATATATATCATTGCAATATCATTGTAATGATGATATAACATTAACACAAATATGTGTTGATACATTTAAAAGTACATTTAAAATGTCTCAATCAACACTACAAAGATTTTACTTTCTCTCAGAGTGATGCCCTCTGACAAGAATGCCCACTGAAATTCACATTTACCAGCATGACTTCTGTCGTCTGTTCCTTTTGTCAGTGTCTCTCCATCAGAGGAACGCCTCTATCACTAAACCAAATAATCTTTCGTTCTTACTGGAAAGTAGAACACATGCATGAACCCTCGATGCTACTGTATGTTCCTTCAGGAAGCTCATTATTTAATTAGTTCAGGATTTGTCTCTTTAGGGATCATGAAAATGTAATCACCTGTTTTCACAGTCACGTTTTAGAAAGTGACTTCTCCATTCAAGGGTAAGGTTTAATCCCACACAACTAACCGCACCAGATTCTCTGTGGGAAATGTCTGTACACATGAACACATGACCTCCCATAACCCAATACTGCAGAAAAATTATTTTAATTTTGATGAGATTTTTTTTTCTTCAAAAGAATGAGTAGCACTATGAGATATTTTAAGCGTAAGGAACCTAATCTTCACCCGGCCATCGTATGTTTCAGCAGAGGATTCAAATTTCAGGACGAAGGAGTCAAGTGACTTAAAAACATCTGACAATTGGGGTCGAAGTGTGATCTCTTTAATCACATAATCTCTGCTTCCTGCCGTCCTGTTGCAGCTATTCTCAAACATTTAAAGGAATAGTTCAACGTTTCGGAAATTATGCCTATTTGCTATATTGTCAAGAGTTAGATGAGAAATTTAAAACCATTATGTCTGTACACCAGCCAGCAGTCGGTTAACTTAGCGTAGCATAAATACTGGAAACGGGAAAACAGCTAGCCTGACTGCCCAAGGGTTACCAGTATTTGTAAAGCTCGGTAATTATCTTATTTAATCATGTTTGTTTAATCCATACAAAAATTGAGCTGTAAAAACAACAAGTTGTAGCTTTACAAGGGGTTATGTGCTGGACTATTTCTTGGCTGGGAGCAGTCACTTAGCATTGGCTAAGCTAGTAGGCTGCAGCTGCATATTTACTGTGCACACTATTTCTTAAACTCAAAGTCTAGGCTTGTAAACTCCTCTGCTAAACTAGCTGTTGTGACGAGCAGCAGTCTATGAACATGTGTCTACATGCAAGACATTTTCACCTCAAGACCAAAGTGACAAAAATACTTTATTATTTATATTCTTATACACACCGAATGTAGGCACGGCAAACTGGAATAAAAATATGGCGTTGGAAATGTGACTCCAACCTCCTTGTTTACAGTACAAACTTATTGTACTCTTTGTAGAAAAGTACAAAAACGTATAACTGCATGTTAGAAATTTTCTATAGTATTTTGAATTTACAGTACCTTGTTTTTATATTGCTTTTGCTTGCTCAACATTCAGCTCTGTAGTTTCTATGCACATAAAGACAGCACATTAATTTGATTGAGGTAGGTTAGTAGCTTGGCATTTGAAAGATATAAAAGATATATTATCTGATTGCTATCAGTTTGACTCACTAGTAACTAAGTTAAAGGCCAATTGATATTAAAAGGTAAGTTTTAAATGTTTTAGCCAGCTGTGTGTGTAATATTCTCGTGGGCCTCTGACTCCGTAGTTTAAGGTAACAAGCCCTGAGGCTTCTGGTGCCTCTGCAAGGTTGTCCACAAACTGTACTGATCCTCGCAATGTCACAGTCTGCCTCAATGTCACATCTGCCGGCCAACGACTCCAGTGTATCATCTTGTATAGGACAAACATGCTCTGTCATGTAATCATGGACCTTTTCCATCAGAAATAATCAAATATAATTTGAGCTTCTTATTGTCTAACTGTCTCTTCGTGCAGGTTGCTGGAGGCTGATTCCAAGTCCATGCGGTCGATGAGCGGTTCACGGCGCAACAGTGGCTCCTCGCTGGTGTCCAGCTCCTCAGCCTCCTCTAACCTGTCACACCTGGAGGAGGATACCTGGATCCTGTGGGGCCGCATCGTCAACGAGTGGGAAGAGTGGAGACGCAAGAAGGACAAACTCCTGAAGGTGGGGATCAGGGACAGGAGATGGAAAATTCCGAGATTATGATGTCACATTCAGCATTTTCCTAAGAATGAGTCATTGAATGTAACTAACAAGAAGATTATCAGCCTCCTCATTTCATTTTACATCTTATTGGTTAGGTTTCACAAGACGTTAACTAAGTAATTTTACAGAACAAAACAGAAAGAGGGACCTGTAAATCCCTGACTCATTGCACCTTCTTTCTGTAGAAGCTGGTTGGCGGTCTATATGCACACACAGACTTTGTCACTTTTTATTCATAAGGTCACAGTGTGCGTCTTTTGTAGCTGTGTGCATGTGTGTGTGTGTCAGAAACACAGAGCCCAGGGTTTATTTTTGTTGTTGTTCCCCTACCACTGAACAGAGATTGTCGAAGAAAACCTTCATCCTCTATCCCTAAATCTGTTGGCACACTAGTTTCAATACGAGTAAACCAAACACCTTTACGTTGCACTGCACCAGTACGTCTCTCTCTACATCCTCTTTCTTTCTTCCTTCTCTCTTTGTGTCTCTCTGTGTCCTCTGTGACAAAAAGAGAAAACCCAGGGGAAGAGAAGACTGATGAGACATGGGACAGCAATAGGTGTCGGGGCAAAATTTGAGAGCAGACAAACTAAGCAACATGACATTGGCAGCCTGCAAACTATACAGAAGCAAAAACAAAATGACAGTGTTTGGCTAAAAAGAAAAACCTGAGTGATACATCAGAATGTACAGAGTGGCTGTAATTATGAAATTATATTAACTGAAGTATTTCTATTCATCATTCCATAATTGATTCCTCTGCTCTCATCTGCCTGCTCTTTGCTCTCTCGCACTACATAAAGGAGCAAGGTATTAATCCTCTTTAATGTCTCTCTCTCTCTTTGCTCTCCAGGAGTTGATCAGAAAGGGCATCCCTCACCATTTCCGGGCCATCGTCTGGCAGCTGCTGGGCAATGCCACTGACATGCCGGTGAAGAACCAATACTCTGAGCTGCTAAAGATGTCGTCCCCCTGCGAGAAGCTCATCCGCAGAGACATCGCCCGCACCTATCCCGAGCACGAGTTCTTCAAAGGTCAGGACAGCCTGGGGCAGGAAGTCCTCTTCAACGTCATGAAGGTGAACACTGCCGCATTTCACATCACCTCAAGGTCTAAACTTGTCAGTCTTGATATTTAGCATCTATGAAAAGGTTAAGATTTGTGTCTTTTGGAATAAATGTCTTTGTTTGCACATGTATGTGTTGTTTGACCATGGCTACAGTGTTTTAAATTAAGTTATATAGTCATTTATGAAGTATTTTAACATGAATTCACACTGTGAGAGACTTGGTCATTGAGCCACGTTTCCACCGCAGGAACTATACCTCGGAAGGCTACTAATGATGCCTGTCTGTTGCTTTGTATGGCATATGTCAGCTGGTTAATTTGCCTAATCTTCGCAGGTCTTTAGACCACAGAAATACACACAACAAGGGGCTGAAGGAACCTTTTAGTTCCTTGAAAAGTAGATCCTGGAATTAAAAGTCCTGGGTACTTTTGGTGGAAACGCGGCTATAGTGTCAAATCAGGTAGTGTTCTCTGATACTAGATGGAGAGACGGTGTGCTGTTAACATTGTTAGGCATTCTGGTGGTTTAGGGGTTCAGGACACTGGAAATGTTGCCAGTTGCCTTTCTCATTCTTTAATTTTCTGTCAACTCTCAACTGGTTACTGTCCAGTAAAGGCTAAGATATATTTTAAAAAGCCAGCATTTATTGATGAGCAGAATAATGTGAAAAAGCATCAAGAAGATGTATCGCTCTGCACGCATGTTCATTTGCTAGCACATAACAAACAAAACGAGACCCACTCATAAATATCTTGATTATTTCTTCAGTTATTTGAAAAAAAATGTACATATGTTCCCAGAGCTCAAGGTGATGTTTTTTTTGTTCAACCAACAGTACATAACCTTAAAGATGTTTTAATTTACAGTTATATAAAACAGAGAAAAGCAGCAAATATTCACATTTGAGAAACTGGAACCTGCACATGTTTGGCATTTTTGCTTGATAATTTGACTAAAATGATTTAGTGTTTTGTTTTAGCATGACAGGTATGATTTAACAATAATCAAATCAGAGTGCCCATTTTGAAACATTTCTTCCTGCAGTCATTCAGAAAAAGATGCATCCAACTGGGACGATTTCAATGGCTGTAATTAACTTCTCCATTTTGCACTTGCCAGGCTGAGTGTTACCTTCCTAATGTAATTTTGTTCATGAGACAAAATCTGTAGGGAAACAAGGAAATTTGGAGATGTGTTGTTCACAGCCATGGAAACAAGCTTGTTGACCGTCTGGACATCAGTCGAGTTTGCTGGTAGCTCAGCTGCGCAGGAAATGAAGGGACCTCTGGTGACTTGTTGCTCACAGTCTGATTGTTCGGTCAGGATTACAGATGTCATCTGTGCTGCTTTCTATAAATACAGCACACAGCAAATGTTGTGTGATTGCGTGTGTATTTTTCAGGCGTACTCTCTGGTGGATCGAGAGGTGGGCTACTGCCAAGGCAGCGCATTCATTGTTGGTCTGCTGCTTATGCAGGTAATGATTAAAAACATATCAAGAAAATGATCCATAATGAGGATATTTTGCCTAAAGTCTCAGTATAGCATGTCTAAGGTTCCTTGTGTTCAGCCCCAGTAGATTTCTCTGATTGCTGCTACAAAGATAAAAAATAAAAAAAAATGTTCAACATAAGCAATGTCTAATTTATACCTAATGAGGGAACTTTACTCACCCCTCTCACCTCCTCCCAGATGCCCGAGGAGGAGGCATTTTGTGTTTTTGTGCGTCTAATGCAGGAGTACCGTCTGAGGGAGCTGTTCAAACCAAGCATGGCCGAGCTGGGCCTTTGCATCTACCAATTTGAGTATCTGCTGCAGGTAAAGAGAAATCAGGAGTGTCTATCAACAAACGTGAGGCTTGCAGTGTGACACTCATCCACTAAGGGGCAGCAAATCATTAAATTATATGTCCAGCACATCACGGCCTCTTTATGTGCTTTTGACTATATTCAAAGTATTTGAGGCTTAAAATCATGCTCTTTTTATTATTTTTCTTTTACCTTAGGAGCAACTTCCAGAGCTGAACGTACATTTTCGATCCCAGAGTTTCCACACATCCATGTATGCCTCATCCTGGTTCCTCACCCTTTTCCTCACCTTCCTCCCTCTACCTGTCGCCACACGCATCTTTGATATTTTCATGTATGAGGTAGGTAAAATTTTTGAGTGTGTTTTTAAGTATCAGAAGATGTACTTGATGTGGGTGACTGTATATATTCGGTGTACCGCTCTATTATTTCATCTCAACACATATAATCAAATATATGACCCGTCTTTAGGGCCTAGAGATTATCTTCCGTGTGGGCCTGGCCATCCTGCAGTACAACCAGACCGACCTCATTCAGCTGGACATGGAGGGCATGTCGCAGGTAAGCTTTTATTGTTTGACGAAATTAGTTTCATTTACAGATTCATCCACAAGTCAAATGGTCCACGTCCCACTTTCCCTTTTGCATGCAAGCTTACTGAACTACAGATCTGAACGACTGATCTGCGTCACTCAGCCACATTAATTCATAACAGAAAAAGAAACCAGGGCACATTCGACTGTGTGTGATGTTATGAACAGTCCCAAGTCCTTAGTGAAAACACACCAGTTTTTCAGGTTATTTCTTTTCTCTCTTGCTACTGGGGTAATATGCTGTGTAAATTAGGGCAGCAACTACCTTTCATTGTTATTTTCATCATTCATCATGATCTGTTATTCTGTCGATAAAATGTCAGAAGATTGTAGAAAATTTTAATTTCCCAAAGCCCAGGGTGGGTTCTTCTGAGTCTTTGTTTTATTTGACCAGCAGTCCAAACCTGCAATATTCACTTAATTATCATAAATACATGACAAAGGAAAACAGCTAATCTTCACATTTTAGAAGCTGGAACCAGAGAATTTTTACATCTTTGGTTTAAAAATGACTGAAATTATTAAGTCTCTTCTCAGTTTATGACATACAGTATGTTTTAACTAAAAATAAATATACCTGTAAACTCAATTACTCTAATTTAGTGATATGTTAATATATAAACTTAATCATTTATGAATCACAGTGTATCAGGACTGTCCTTGTTCCTAAAAATAAAGCAGCTACTGACTCACCACAAGGCTAACGTTGACCGTTAGCCGCTCTTCTTCACTTTTCTAAATCGTGTCTCCTTCTTCATAAAATATGGATGAGTATCTTTGTCTGTCTTGAGCGCTCTTATCTTCTGTGTGTTTCCCTCCGGGTCTGCCAGCATTTCCAGAAGGTGATCCCCCACCAGTTTGACAGCTGCCCAGACAAGCTGATCCTCAGGGCCTACCAGGTCAAATACAACCCCAAGAGGATGAAGAAGTAAGAGCACTCGTTACTCAGCTAACGACTAGTGAGGCTCAGGTGGACGGGCTTCGTGTAGCCCAGTAGGATTTGTATTTCTGTTTAATTGATGCTGATGATTTTGCACTGATTTGATCAAATGGACCACCAATCAACAAAGCACAGCAACCAAGCAATTAAATTCTTTAAATAATAATAATAAAGTTAAGGTAACATTGCATAATCCTGTGTTGTTATTTGTTTTCAGACTTGAGAAAGAATATACCACAATCAAGAACAAAGAAATGGAGGAACAAATTGAGATTAAGGTGTGTGTGTGTGTGTGTGTGTGTGTGTGTGTGTGTGTGTGTGTGTGTGTGTGTGTGTGTTCAGCTGTGACTGTATTTTATATATTTGTGCATCTTGTGGCTATTACAGAAAACACTTGTAGTAAGATTTTTATATATAACTCTTATGTACATGTCTCCCCTCTCTCTGCACAGAGGTTACGCACAGAAAACAGGCTGCTGAAACAGAGGATTGAGACGCTGGAGAAAGTAAGAGAGGAGCTTTGATTCCAGTTCATCTAAATGCTAAAATGAATCAGGTTTAGGCAGCATCATTGAGACGAAACAGCCAGATTGCTCAGCGTAGGACGTTCCACATTTTTGATCAGATCTAGTTAAAAAACTGTAATGAGATAATCCAGTGGGTTCAAATGTGTGAGCTCATTCTCTCTTCTTGTTGTTTGTTGCTCTTGGTCCTGTGTGTTTGTGGGTGTGGATGCTTGCAATTAGCCCTGTTTGCAAGCAAGGTGTTTTCCCTCTGCTCCAGCACTCTGATATTAAGCGACACTACAGTTTTGAATCTTCTCTTTCTCCCTGAAACATTTTTTGTCCCTGTGCGATGTTATTGCTGCCTCTTGTTTTTCTTCACCCCTACATTTGTTTCGAATGATTGACTCCTCAACCCTGCGATCTTGTTTCTTTCTTTTCCTTAAATTTCCTCTTGGGTTTTGTTGTGGTTTATCCACCCTGGTGTCCACTGTCTTTCTCTCTCTTCATCTCTTTGTTTCATCCTCTTTTTCCTCTACTTCGTTGCTGCACTGTAGGAGAGTGCTGCTCTGGCAGACAGACTGATACAGGTAGAGTACTGAAAACTACTTTCCCCCTGGCCTGGCTGCCCTCTGCCCTACTCACACCTCCCTCCTCCTCCTCCTCCTCCTTCTCCTCTTCTTTCTGCTCTCTTGCACTGCTTCGCCCCCTCTCCTTACCAGTAACCAGCCAAAAGTGCATGAAAGAATATTGTTTATGTTGTTCAGTCCACAAGACTGCTCTTTAATCCCTGAATGCATGTACTGTTTATCCATGTTGGAAATTCTGACATGAGGTTGTACAATCTCTGCATGTGACAAAATAAATTATTGTCAATACTATTACATTTTTTATGATAAATACATGTATTTAACCAATATGTGAAATAATTATCTTTATATATTTTGACATTTTGGGAAATGCACTTATTTGCTATATCGCAGAGAGTTGGATAATAAAGCTGTAGTGTCTGTTCGCTAAATATGAAGCTAGCCCGGCTAGCTCTTTCTCCTGTTTTCTGTCTTTAAGTTAAGCTAAGCTAACCAGCTGCTGGCTGTAACTTTAGTATTTAATGGACAGCTATTATATAAATCTTCTTTGATAGCTCTTTGTAAGAAAGCAAATAAGTATATCTAGTGTATGTGGTTATATATTTATATAATTTCCGAAATAAAACAAAATCAGCTATGCACCATGTAGGTAAGTTCCCCTTAAACATAATAATTGCATTCTGTAGATGCCCAGAATGAATCTTGCCCCTATGTAGTCTGCATTTCAAAGTTTAAACTGGACAGATATTCACCCCCGTCCTGCTCTGGCCTGCTATTCCAGGGTCAGGTGACGAGGGCACAGGAAGCAGAGGAGAACTACGTGATTAAGCGGGAGCTGGCGGTGGTGAGGCAGCAGTGCAACACAGCCAGCGAGAGCCTCGAGAAAGCGCAGGACACCATCAAAGAGCTGCAGCAACAGAGGGTAAACACCGACCCACAATGTCATTTGTGTTGAAAAAGAGATTTATTTCGGGCAGAAGCGGTTGATCTGAATTTCTCTGTTGAATCATTTATTAGGTAATTGTTCATGAAGTCAAGAGATATTTAAGTGATTTCAAAATCAGGGCAGGCTTAAATGTCTTAAATGTAGTTACTGATTAGTTGATACCAGGTTTTAAAGTTGGTACAACTAAAAAGTACTAATAGTGTTAAGGAATTAGTAAAATTAGTTAGTAAAATCCAACAATGTGCCTCCTTCCTGCAGGGTTGTGCAGAGGTCCGCCCAGGTTTATTGTGTTTTAGGATGTAATCACTGTGAAATTATTTTCACATTACTATTATTACTTTGATTCACTGCTTTGTTCTCGCTAATGCAACTCCCTTTCTTAATTCTTAGTAGCTCACTCAACAACCGCTGCTGTCTCTCTGACTCATTGAGTTTGGGGAAGAGTGGCCAACTTAAAATCATGTGTTTTCAAACAGCAACTGACAAATTCTACTCATTGTGCCTGGTTCAATTTGGTGTTAAACAAAGTGACAATTCCAGCCTAGCTGTTTTTTCCTGTTTCCATTCTTCATGCTAAGCTAAGCTAACTGTCTGTTAGCTCTTTCTTCGTATTTAACAAATGAACATGAGTGGTGTCAAGCCTCTCATTGAATTCTTGGAAAGAAACATTAACTCGGAATTTATTGCAACACAGATTGTCTTAAGACTTCAGTGGAAATTTGTTGAAGTTCACATATGCAACACAAGCCACCAATACATTTTAATAATTTGTCATTTAAAGAGTATTTGAGTGTCTTGGAAAAGTGTTCTATAAAAAATGTATTACTATCCTTAGTTGTAGTATTAAAAAGTAGTTTCAAAGTGCTTTATAGAAGGAAATAAAAGAATGAGGAAAATATTAGAGATGATAAAAACATGGACTCAAACTGTACAAAACACAAATGATAAAGTTTTCACATCAAGTTGTAAGATGATTTAGGATGCAGTTTCTCACAGATGTGTATATGTCTGTGTCATGAAGGCAATTAGAGATGCCAGCTATAATACAGAAGTATTAATTTAGTCAAATAGCAAACTGTGGTCTCAAAAGCTTCTATTTTTGGGGGGTTGCATTGTTCTTCCAGCAATGTAAAGGTGAGATCACATTAAGTAAAAAGGCTATACTTGTAGTCTGTTAAGTAGGAAATTAGTAAATATTTAAGAAAAATAATGATTTTTTTTTTATTAACCACTTTAGATATTTATGTAAAATTATAGTGCGAGCTTGTGCCAGTTTGCGTGTAGTGACTTTAACTGACCTTAAATGTGTTTTATTGTAAATAAACAGTTTCTGTTTACATTCAGTGTTACCCACCAAAAAGTATTCCGTGCATCCTTGAGGTTTCGAACGGGTCAAACGGGTCGAACGCATTTCCACATAAAACCTTTGTAAAGCTCCATTGTGTCCACGTTTACTAGCCACGAAAACAAACAAAACAGGCACCCACACATAAAAACATTGCTCTATAGCACTATTAGAGGTTAAAAAAACTCCAGAGGGTACATTTTAAAGGATTCTTTTTTTTCTGTTTGACATCATCTGTGTAATATATTCCTATAGTAACTGATGGTGTAAGCTTACCTCTTATCCTGCTTTTATTGCATTTTATTTTGCCCACTTTGCCTCCTTTTTTTGCCTCCTCTGCATTAGTCAAACAAAACCCAGTGGCATGCCCACATCAGGAACAACACGCCCAGGGTAACAGCACAACACTGTGCACCCCCAGCACTGACGGTTCTTCACACACGTTTGAAAATCAGCTCTGGATCATTTTTTGAGGGTTGCACCGAACCATAATCAAACTTTAAAGCCTCTGTGATTGACTATATTGACCGAGTTTGGTTTCCCTAATTTTTTCCAGCTTTTTAAATGTGTTTCTTTTGATAACAAAGAGACAGCCCACATTTCCATATGAAGCTCAGAGGAAATGAGTAATTTATGAACTCATGAACTAACCCTGCAAAGCTCAGCAGCCCGAGTCTGATAAAATGCAGTCTACTAGGCTACAAGGCTTGCTCTCACTTCAACTGTAGGATGTTTACATCCAGAAGAGGATCTAGGTCCTACAGTTTTCACCCAACATGGATGTGACTGCCCTCAAAACCCTTTTAACACCCTGAAAGTTGAAAGTCTGCACTTTAACCTCGTAGTCAACAGAAGAGCCAAAACTATGTGAAACATACAGCTAACTACATATGGACTGCAAAGTATTTCGCCTGAAGTTAAACTTGAAGATGCTGCGTCATACTTTTTAAAATATTTGTTCACCAGTTTATTATGTTATCTTTGCTAGTTTCATAAACAATAATAAATCATACATTTACAAAAAACATTTAAGGATGTATAGTTCTAAAATAGTGACTTTATTTTGACGTTGATGGAATGTAACCAAATGCATTTACTGCACTTATGAACAAATATATATATTTTCTATATTTCTGTGTGCAGCAAAACGTTATTTTTCTACATACGCTTGCAGCTGTTGGCATTGAATATGTTAGTAATACAAAAGAGTTTCGAAATGCCTGTCCCTTTGTCAAACTACCACTTTGCTAACCCAGGCAAAAACACAAAAGATTAACAGTTCAAATTCACACAGTCATGTCAGCAAATCACACTTATCTGTGCAAATATGATGTGTGACATTGTACTCCTCTCTTTTCATTGCGTGTGCATTAGGACAAAATGAAAAGCAAGCAACAGCTGTGAATCAAACAAATATTAAACTGAAAGAAATACAAGTCACTGATTTACTATTTGGGTTGTTAAACGTGGGAGCTGAGTACGCTAAATGATGCCATTTTGACGAGCGTTCTTATTCCAGCTCAGATTGCTGGCACCCATCACCCAACAGAGTTCACACACCTCCAGACACTGACAGTCCTCTTTGATAACCAAGACTGAGAATCCCGAAATGACAGAACAAGACTCTCTTATGCACGCTATGTACTTGCCCAATTTCAAGCATTTGTATTTTGCGTCGTAGGAAAGTATTTTTCCACTCAGTCCTCTCTGTTTTTCTGCTGCTCTCACACCCCTAACTTTGTAGTTTTACTTTGATGTGGTGGCATAAAAATCTACAGTAGTTTCTATACCGTGACATCACTCTGAGTCAGTGGGGAAGGAGAGAAACTTGATACCATCTCCATTATGTTGATCAGCTATTTTAAAGTCGGGTTACTATACAGACATTTACTAAGTACTGGGAACATTAGTCACAAAACAGAAAAATCAACTGACATCGTTTAGGCCTCTTTCAAAATTTAAAGGCTTGAACAGTTTTCATTTTGTTTCCGCATGCAGACTAGCTGCATATGAAAATGACCAGGGGTTAAAGTGGCATGTTGTAATTGATGTTCTTGATTTATTTGTTGAAGAAGTGAGGAATAACGCAACAACTGTTGTTTCCTTTGTGGCTGTAGTCAAGGAATCGAATGTATTGCTGCAAATTTCCTGCTGCCTTCCCCAAATGTATAGGAGTGCAGAAAACATTTTCTCCTTCTTGATGACAATGTTAGCCCTCAGAAAAGAACATTGGAAACGCAAGGATTCGGTGTGTGAATACTCAACTTCCTGTTAGAAGAAACAGAAAGAGAAAGAGGTGTAGCGGGAGCTTGTGGCAGAATTCACATCCATTGAAGCACTGTGGTAATCTGAACTGAACTCCACCTTCTGCAACTAGTCTGTATATGAAAAAAGACAAACTTTTAAGGATTTCAATTATATTTTATTATCATTTTTATATCTATATACAAACACAATCTCAAGAAAGCTGATCAACAAATGATGAAAGTTAGTATCCAGCCCCACTGCCCTGTTATATAATATACCTGTGTAACACCAGTGATGTTTGTTTCAGTACACAGAGCCGTTTGTGAGCAATCTACAGACCCAGCTGGAGCAGTCCAGATTGCGCGAGGCTGAACTGCTGGGAGCAATGAAGGAAATGCAAGACAAGGTCCTCGACCTGGAGAAGGTGAACTAACAGACACACATTTTAGTGTGCGAGGGAGAGCAGAGTGTGAAAGATGAGCAGTGACAAGAGGTGTGTGAATGTGGTGAATGTGTTAAAGATTATCTTAAAAGTGTAAAATGATTCTGAACAACGATCTATGCATGTTTGAGGTTTCAAGCTTTCGGTTTTACTTCAGAAGGGGTTGAGACACAACAGCTCTGCTTCGCCCCTGAAAAAGTTTTTTCTGTAACGTTAAACTGAAAGCTACTTTCCCTCTGTGCTCTGTCATTATTTGCTTTTACAATTTTTTTTTATTCCAGGAACTCCTGTTTTTTAGTCACACTGGCTCTATTGATGCCCATGATTGTCTGGTGGTTGGTCAAAAACTTTGGTCCAGACTGAAATACAGTTGCAGGAAAAGTATGTGAACCCTGGATTTCTGCATAAATTGGTCATAAAATTTGATTTGTCACAACAATAGTCACAGTCTGCTTAAACTAATACCGCACAAACAATTATATGTTTTTACTGAACACACTGTGTTAACATTCACACCCCTAGGCTAATGATATAGACGGGGAGGGGGTAATATCCAACTCCAATAGGTAATTGGAGTTGGAGTCAGCAAACCTGAAATCCAATCAATGAGACGAGATTGGAGGTGTTGTTTAGAGCTGCCCTGCCCTTTAATTTTGCTATTCCCATGAAGCATTGCCCGATGTGAACCACGCCTCAAACAAAAGAGCTCTCAGAAGTCCTAAGATTAAGCTTTGTTGACTTTCATGAAGCTGGAAATGGTTACAAAAGCATTTCTGAACAGTAAATAACTTCGCACCTACATGATGAGAGACAGGTGTGTCGGAGGGAGACAGGAGAGTCAAAAGTAGCAAAGAAAAGTTCCCGCACACTGTCTAACTTGCAAAAAATATATATTGACACAACGTTTTGGTACTAGACCTTCATCAGGCAAATGGTGTTACATAGTGAGAAGCCATCTTTTGTAGGAAGTGATTTATTTGTCTACACCTATTACCTATTTTCTCATAAAATAAGGCCGCTATTGCAAAACATTCATTCATATTTCCATGGGATGAATGTAGATTTCTGTGTACTGAATGTACATCAAAACAATATCATAAAGTGCACTCATAAATATACATACTCACAAATCTCACTGGTGCCTTATACATCAATAGACAAATAACTAAAATGTAACACTAGATAAATAGAGGGGAAAAAATAATACATATGACCCAAAAAACAATAGGTCCAAAAGACAACAATCTCATACTTCAATAATGTAGATGTAAACTAACAATGAAATTTATAAAAACATGAGCATAAATGGTAAAATCTTCATATTCAACTTGTTACGATCAATCCCCCTCGCAGACCTCTTTACCTGTGAACGTATAGCATGTGACTGTTAACAACAATTCACTAAAAAACTAAGTGCCAAAATGGCTCTTACATTGTGTGTGGTGGAAAAAAGGCACAGTACATCAACATCAAAACTTCATCCCGACTGTGAGGTATGGTGGAGGGTAATCATGGTTTAGGGCTGCTTTGCTGCCTCAGGGCCTGGAAGGGTTGCTATCATTGATGGAAAAATGAATTCCAAAGTTTATCAACAATGTAAGGCCATTTGTCTGCTAATTGAAGCTCCACAGAACATGGGTGATGCAACAGGACAACGAACCAAAGCACAGAAGTAAACCAACAACAGGATGGCTTCAGCAGAACAAAAATTTGTGTTCTGGAGTGGCCCAGTCAGAGTCCTGACCTCAACGGGATTGAGATGTTGTGGCATGACCACGAGAGCCATCCACACCAGACATCCCATGAAAATTGCTGATTTTGTAAAGAGGATTGGTCCAAAATTCTTCCTGACAGTTGTTTAGGTCTGATCTGCAACTACAAGAAAGGTTTGGTTGAGATATTGCTGCCAAAGGAGGGTCAACCACTTATTAAATCCAAGGGTTCACATACTTTTACCACCCTGCACTGTGTATGTTTACACGGTGTTCAATAAAAACATGAAAACATATATTTGTTTGTGTGGTATTAGTCTTAGACTGTGTTTGTCTATTGTTGTGACACTGATGAAGATCATTTGAAGATCATTTTATGACCAATTTATGCAGAAATCCAGGGAATTCCTAAGGATTCACATACTTTTTCATGCGACTGCATCTATTAGATGGATTGCCATGACATTTTATACAGACATTCATGTCTCCTTCAGGATTAATTGTAATAAATTTGGTGAAAACTTAAGGGTCAACAATCGCCATCATCTTGTCAGGATTTCAACTGGTCCAATACTTTGGTTTATAATGAAATACCTGCATGACACTCCCATCAGCCTTAGTGTCAGGTAGCCAAAGCTAAGCCCAGTGGTGGACAGTATCAAAGTAGTACTGTACTTAAGTACACAAGGTATTTGTACTGAACTTGAGTATTTTCTTTTCATGCCACTTTCTACTTCACCACATCTCAAAGGGAAATATTGTACTTTTTACTTTATCTGACAGCTTCAGTTTGTAGTTACTTTAAAAATAAGCTTTTTACACATAAAACATATGAAGAATTTGAAAAATAGGATGTTTGGATATAAATTAAATTAACATTTTACAGAAGTCCAGCTAGTAGAACTAGATCAGTTAGTCTAATTGACAGAAATTTAATTGGCATTTAATGTAAAAACCTTTAATGGTTCCAGCTTCACAAACATGAAATTTACAGCCTTTACTTTTGATTATTTTAATGTAGGCTTTTAACTTTTAATCATTATGAGGTTTGGACTGACAAAACAAGTATTGTGAAGGTGTCACTTTGGGCTCTGGGTAACTGTGACAACATTTCTCGCTATTTTCAGAATTTATTGCAATCGATTAATGGAGAAAATAATCAGCTGATTAATACATAATAAAAATAATCATTAATTGCAGTCTGATACAAAATAGTTCAACCTCAACCAACTACATTAATGCATGAGGAATAATGATCTAATATATAATGTCACAGTCATATGCGACATTTTTCTTTCTTCTTTGAGTATGCTCCTTGTATTTTTAATAGGCTACTTCTGCTTTTTCCTGCTTCTAGCCTACTGACATAGTGTACTTAACTCTGAATAGTCCTAAGTTACTTTGCTCACCACTGGCTAAAAAAGCCAAAGCTTTTGGTTGGAAAGAGCTTGGAGAGTTTTTGACTGCATCAATAATCATTTAGCACGAATTTGTCTATACTCTATAACATCAGCTGCTCTCACTCTTTGATCACAGCCAGGTGATTTTGTCCAGCAATTGTAAAATCAAAATGCAAAAGAAAAAAAAAAACTACAGTTACTGCATTCATCGGGTCTTGCACTTCCAACTTCCACTCCCTAGCTGTGTCTCAATTCAGGGACCGCATCCTGTGTGTGCACGCCAATCCAAGTTACCTGGTAACGAACGTGCTTGCAGCGGGATCACAGAATTTACCCGGAAACAACACATTTAAACTTATGATGGGTTAAAGGTCTCTGGCATTTAGTAGGATACAGAGAAAGCTATGAACTCGGCACAAAAATGATCGTCCATTAACTGAATGTAGCGGGACAACTTCGAGGACGTTATCTCTTAACTTCCCAGCGTGAGAAATACAAGGTGTGACGTGTGAACTGGCTGAAATGCGTGTGTCTCACGGTAAATGCGTGAGACTTGAGGGCCCTGAAACACAGTAGTGTTTCGCAGGTATAATACCTGCTTAACGTTAGCGTTCAGCCTAAGTATAGCTTAACAGAGCTGCTAGCATGGCTGTAGTAGATAGTTAGTCTTTTTAAACTGTAAGTATGACACGTTTGCCCATCCAGAGGAGCAGCTGCCTGCCTGATGAGAACAACATGGTGGCTCTGCAGGAGGAGTTGAAGCAGATGAAGCTGAGGGAGCTGGAGACGCTGCGCTCATTCAGAGAGATGCAGGACACCGTTACTGAGCTCAACCAGCGCTGGCAGGTAACACACACACACACACACACACACACACACACACACACACACACACACACACACACACACACACACATTGCTGCTGTGTCTCTATATAAACCTACCTGTGTGTGCATTTTCATGTGCCCCACCTGTGCAGTGGCAGAAGGCAACTGTACGATCTGTTTCTCTGCAGCATCACATGTCCCGTGGTAGCAGCACAGGAGGAGGGGGCGGCCACTGGAAGGAATCCCCGAAGAAGAACGCCATGAACGAGCTGCAGGACAAACTGATGACAGTCAGACTGAGGGAGGCCCAGGCTCAGGCTGAGCTCCGAGAGGTCAAACTCAAAGCTCTGCAGCTGGAGAGCCAGGTCAGATATACTGTACACCATACACACATGTAAGTCCTTTACTTAGATACACAGGTATAGGTATAAAGGTCAGTGCAGTTTGATTTGTATATAACATTTTATACGAACAGTGATAATATAATGATAAAGGTGTGGTGTCAGCATAATGCAGCAAACGATTAGTCAGATAATCAATGAAATGTGAAAATCAACTGTTTATTAATGATGAAAACAATAATTTGTTGAAGCCCTACTCACCCTCTCACATTTGACTTCCTTCACTCTAGAACCAGATCCACAGCAAGCTAATTGGTCGCAACGAGCAGGAACGCTCAGCCTTGCAGGACCGGCTCCAGATGCAAGCCAATCAGAACAAAGCTCTCCAGGCCCAACTCAACGAAATGAAAAGGAAGCAGGCCGAGTCTGACTGCAAGGTCGGGATGGAGAGAAGAGAGAAAAAAGAAAAGGCTTTAGCAAGAGGGGATAGACATGACAGGGAGACAGGCTGATTTATGGGGAGAGCTTTCCTGGTCCAGCTTAGTGAAACTTAAAAGATAATATGGATATACAGTAATGACACACTAAATACTGGATGGACGAAACAACCAGGAATTAAGTCAGTTCAAGAATGTAGAGCATAAAAAAGGGAGAGACAAAGAAGGATGGAAGAAGAAGGGAGGACTGGATAGATTTTGTTTCAGAAAAAATGGATGAGAAATAGTCTGACTACAAATTCTGGTATTCATATCCAGAAAAGAAGGACGGATGCAATGAAGGACAGAGCAGGACGTAGACGGAGGGAATGAGACAGTTTATGATGCATCATCACTATCCATCCCTGAAATCCTGTACGTCATTGTCACCACAGTGTTCAGCTGTTAAGAAATGTCTTCTTCCTTCTCTTTCTTTCTACGGACCCTCTCCCCTAATATGTCCAGAGTAAAGAAGAGGTGATGGCCGTGCGACTGAGGGAAGCAGACAGTATGGCTGCGATGGCTGAACTCAGGCAGAAGATCGCCGAACTAGAGATACAGGTGTGTGTCTCTAAATGTAAAGTGTGTAGGTGTTGATGTCCATATGGTTGATTTAACAATACTGTAACAATTAAGAGACTGTGAGCTCAAAATGTGTTTTCCAGAAAGAGGAAGGTCTGATCCAGGGCCAGCTGAACCACTCAGACTCCAGACAGTATATCAACCAGCTCCGGGACCAGATCGCTGAACTCAAGAACGAGGTTGGACACACAGACAAAAGAAACCTGTGCCACGTGTGGCATTTTAAAGAAACCAAATGCTCTTACAAAAACAAATGATACCATGGTAATGATTCTTGGTATATGTGCTTGGCAGCACAGGAAGCGTGCTACTTCCCATATCCCTCTCCGACATCCCAAATAATTTGAAGGCGTCACATTGGGTTCCAGGAAACGGTGAAGGGCATTTTTTCACAATTGGCTGATATTTTTTAGGCCAAATGATTAATCAAGAAAATAATCCATTGTTTAAGATTTAAAAACAATGAACGTAATTCATTTCTAATCCGACTGAATTGCCATTATGTTTCAGTTCGCTTTATGTCTGTTTTCTTGTTGCGAAGGGTGTTTTTTTGTTTTGTTTTCCATTAACCAGTCGGTTAATCATTTTCATGTCTGTAAACATAACATCTGATGTCTTCAGATCGACATACAAAAACTTCTACAGCAGCATCAATCTCATCCACACTTGAAGCTAGATAGCTTTGTAGGAAAACAATATCCATCCATCCATCGTCAACTGCTTATCCTGCGTACAGGGTCACGGGGGGAATATGATATCCCCGTTCTTAATCCCACCTACTAAACTCATCTGAATCCAACCTGCCGGTAATTGGCTTTTTGAATCCTATCTTCTGTAACAAACCTCTTTAAGCTTGCAGAGATTCTGCAACCTGGAACCAGACGTTGTGCTATAAAGTGGAAGATTTTTGTCAAATCTGACCCAGGAACAAAGGATTCAAAATGTAGTTCAGAGCCTACAATTATTTCTTGTTCTTACAGCAGTCATTATTATACTTTGATATATTAGGGTATTTATAAAGATGAAAAACGCATAGTAATAATCCTGTTCACTATATGACTGAATTGACAGTTCTGCTTTTAAGTAGCGTGCAGATATGTTAAACATGCAGACACAAAGTGCGTGTATACTGTAGATACAGCAGATAGAGATCCTGCAGCCTTGCTAACCACCACAGAAAAATCTTGTCAGCTACGTGCAGCCTCTCAACAAACACCACTTCCACCCAGACAGACGTCTTTCTTGTAATAAGAGACCACTGCTCTTCCCGACCAGCTGTTTTGTCATCATTTGATTCACAGTGAACTTTAATTGTGAAAGAGGAGTGAGTTTCAAACGAACAAGTGTGTGACAGTCATAAAGCTTTTTTTTTTTTTTATATCTTAGGGTAACCCACATCGATGCGGATGTCGCTGTCGGGTTAAAAATGTATTGTAACTCATGTTTTGCTTATTTCCATATCTTAATTTCACCTGGAGGCGACTCGTGGGTTGAGAAAATTCAATGACCTCTTGGGTTTATGTATATCTTTCCAGACCCATTTTGGAGACGCAGAGTTCTCACCCAACATACACTCAGTTTGTTCATTCAGAGAGTGGCAGTGCGTGACTAGGAGGGATGTGTTTAAACTTTAAAGTGAGGGGGTGGGCTGAGACTACTCTGGCCTTTACCGCTCCTCTCCTCTCTTTTCTTTTCTCCCCACCTTTTTTACATCAAAGCAGTGGTTTTATAAATGAGACCGAAACTTGCATGAGTACAAATGAGGAAGCAGTGAACAATTTAGAAAAATCTCAGTGTAATCCTCCAAGCAGTCATCTCATGATTGAGTCATTAACAATCAGGTTATTTGTGAATCAGCTTGACATGAATTTTGCAATTTTGCGAAGAACAAATTGTCTCAATATGTTAGCATTTTGACAGTCTTCTGATAAATTTGATATAAATTAACCTATTAATATTGTAAAAACAAAATGCTAGAATATGACCCAAAAAAGCCTGATGACGGTTCTTTTTTTTTCTGTAGCTTGAAGAGCAGTCAAAACATTTCCATTGGTTAACCACTGGGTCCCATCCCCCTTTCCTCTTCTCACCCTACAGCTAGCCTGAGTGTATGATAGGGGGAAACAAAAACCTCTGAGATTTGTCATGAGTCACTGTGGTACATGCAAGGTTAACACGCCAAAAGTATGCATGTGTAGATAAACTGTGGCGGTAGCTCTTCTGTCAGGCAAGAGCAACCACCATAAACTGAGAGCCAGACAGCGGCGATGGAACTTTAAATTTGTTTGTTATTTTTATTTATTCATCTAGAGATACTTCTGCTGCTCAGATTTAGCTGTAAATACCTCACTGCACAACCTCAAAATGGTAAGCAGGATACAGATCAGTGGGTTTCATAGGGGGTTTTTTTGCACCCAACAACCTGTTAAAATAAAATTCCCAGCACCTGACATTTAATGCTTTTGCAAAGTCTCATCTAACAGATTTAAAACTATTTATAGACTATTAAACCTTAGTCTATTATTATTTAAGTGTACTATTATATAGGGGAAATCCCAAAATGATTGTGTTTCACTGATGATGTTTTGAAACTCAGCTGAGAACCTATGTTGAGTTTCAAAACATCCTGATCTGGGAGGAAAGAGTGCACTTTTAAGATAACAAACGAACACTAGAATAGTCTCATAAGTATTTACAAACAAATACCTATGAATTTCTATGGAAGCTAGGTGTGTCCAGTAATCATATCATCATATTCCATGCAGATAGATGTTATGCTGGAAAAATGAATAATAAAAACTTAATCACCTAAAGTTCTTATTTTCCCTCTTGTTAACTTAATGATAGACAACCTGGAGTAAACAAAACTGACATAAAACCATAGGATAATCAATAAGTATGTATATAAGTAACCTTCACCTGCCCATTTCTACCTAATCGATATTGTGTTGCTTTACACTTCTAATTGTGTCAGCAATATTAATATATATTTATTATGATGACATTGACAACTTCCTGTGTGTCACAGAGCTCCATTGTTGTCCAAAAACTATTAAACACTGGATAACCTGTTCCTTCATTACAATGAACTATAGCTTAATTTGAATTGATAGCTTTTTAAAAACTGAAGCTACTGTATCCATTTGTGAGATATTTTGAAAAACCTACATCTTCAGTAGGAATGAATGGGCTCAGGGCTGAGTGCCACAGAGAGGGTAGGAAAGAAGAACACATTGTTGGTGTTAACACAATAATGTCAGCCTTTAAAATCTAGGCCATCCTGCTTTTATTAGAATGAAATGCTGTAAATACCACTGACATATACGCAAAACCTACCTGTAGGGCTGACTAAAGTAAAACCTTCTTCTCTGTATTTAGATCAGGCAGTTGCGAGGGCAGAAGGCAGCGCCCAGGGTTAGCGGTGGAGGCGGAAGTACCAACTATCAGGATCTCTGTCTTGCCAGCCCCACCTCTGCCGAGGGTGACTACCTGAGCTCAGACGAGGACCTCCTCCCCAGCCCGCTGCCTGCCACCGCCCTGTACCCCACCCTGACCGGCCCGTGTCACCCGTCTGCACGCCTCGACAGCGAGGGCAGCACAGACAGCGAGGCAGAGGAGCGGATGCGGACACATCCGGACCCACAGCAGCTGTACAGCAGCATGGTCTGCACTGAGGCACTTGATAACTGAGACCTGGAGGAGGTATGAAGGTTTCATTGGATTTCTTTGACCTAAAGAAATGCTGGAGCTCGACAGGACTGCTACTGTAAACTGGGACTGTACCCAATTATCAAATTCAGTCCTCCTCCTCAGCTTTTCCAGTGTTTACCTTTAACTTGATGCAGACATAGTGGCATTGATTGGACCTCTTCTGATCATCACTACCCGTCGTCTCCACTCTTGTCACCGTCTCCACCACCTTGTTTCCGATACTGTCTGATCCTATGTTCCCTAACAAGAGGTAATGTAAAGCCTCCCTCCTTGTTCCCACGTGTAACTGTGCCAGAAACTGTCCAAAAAAACATGTCCATCCAAACATAAACATGACACACAAACAGACAAAATGGACTGAAACTGGACCAGCAAGACTGATGTTGCCCCTCGCTGCTTGAGATCAACCACTGGACCTGAATCTGTGATTAACGAGGAGTGAAACATGGGTAGACAGACAGAAAATCACTCTTCCCTCTCCCTATAAACTGAGTAATAGACACTGTCTACCCTCATATAACTCTCCTTTGATAGGTTCAGAGTTAAATACATCTTTGTCCTCTTTTCCTTTTTATGCCTCTCATTAGAAGACACACACACACACACACACACACATGCACACACTTACATCAGCCACCTATTTACGTCTTAGTAGACCAAGTGTTAATATAAAGGTCACGAGTATGAGAAGGAGAGGTGCAGTGTAGAAATATGTACACATCAAACTTTAGGGAAATCACAAGATGGCATTCATAAATCAATCATCAACAATTAACATACTAAATGTTGTCTGTGACTTACAGATGACAAGAACGCAAGCGAGTTAATACAACATCTCATGTCAAAACATAGTCACCATCACCCACAAAAAAAGGAAGGAAGAAACTCAGTGTTGCCAAATCTTCTGTTTTGTTTTTTAATTATTTATATGTTGTAATTTATTTTGATATTTTTATATATATATATATATATATATATATATATATAAAACTATAGGAGTATAGAGATACCGACAGAGGCCAAACTTTCTACACCGTCCTTTGTGCCAACTAGTCGTCTGTTATAGGTTTACTGTAACACTGAGTGTTTCAGAGATGGAAAATGTGCTGCTATGATTTTGGAATTACTTCTCCCATTTTGTCTTTCTGGGTTTTTTTGAACATGCAACCACCTGTTAACTCTGCCATAGATTAGGTTGAACAACTACTGTGCAGACTGATCAAATGAAAACTGAGCAGTTTGACTTGATTCCTCCCTGCAGCTTCTCAACGTTTAGCAATGATGGGAACAATTTGGTTTCCTTCAAAACCAAGCATTATCATTGTGTATGTGTTCGTTAAAGGGGTAGTTTGACATTCTAGGAAATACATTTATTCGCCATTCATAACTCTTATGTGTCTGTTGAATATGAAGCTACAGCCAGGAGATAGTTAGCTTAGCAGGAGCGGTTTACGTGCACAAACGGCTGTTTTGCATGCAAACAGCTGTTTCCTCGTGTTTCCAGTCTTTATGCTAAGCTAGGCTAGCCATCTCCTGGCTGTAGCTTCATACTTAACAGAAATTAGACAGACACAAGGGCGGTATCTGAGCGAACAAGCGCATTTCCTAAAATGTCAAACTATCCCTTTAATTATCATTGTCACATACAAGCAAAAAGGAATCCAGGTAACAGTGCTGATCTGGAGTCACCAGTTCATGTGCTCATATCACTTTTTGACAGCTTAAGCTGCAGTATGCAGGCCAATGAAATTGGAAGGAGTCGTGCATATTGTAAGGATGCCAACATAAAGGCTGTCGTCGTGACTGGAGAGTGTGTGGGTGGAAAGTATATTACATATCAAACATTAATATATTCAGTGTAGAAAAAAGGGTGTACAATGTATGGAGAAATATGAAATATACAGTGTAAGAGGAACAAAGGGATATAGATAAGATTTAAAGCTGTATCACTTCCTGTCAGGTCTCACTGAAGATTGTGAGTGTGTATAATTTATCAAACAGGGTGTTATATGTAGAGCAATGGTCTGCTTTTTGCACTACAGAGAAAGAGGAACTCTCTGCTCATGACATTAAGCAGTGAGAGATGCTGTGGATTAATGGATTCATGGTGGGGTCTCATTTCTTATTATATTCAGCTCTTCAGAGGGACCTTGACATTACCTGACATATTAAGTACTTCGCTCCAAGATTATGAATCTGGACTTTGTATTGTGCTTCATTTTTCTTCACACTGAAGTTGGAAGATTCTCTCTAAATTATCTAAAGGTCCATTTACTGCTTCACAAAGCTAACTAACATTTTTTGTGCAATAGAAATGAAGGAATTGTAAAGGAGATCATCATTGCCATCTTCTCGGAAATTAGGAAACTGGATCATCCAGTAAATGCCATCAAAGAGCTGAAGAGGATGTCAGTTTGCCCACCAAACTGTTGCACATAACAGCCTTTTAGTGGTCATTGGTGGGTGTAACAACTGAAATCAGTGTTTGGATATCGTCAGACTAAATGAGTGTTGTACAAATGGTTTTATTCTAATTCCTTCTAGTTCTTAGTATGTACAGAATGTAGTCTGGCATCAGCTCTGTAGAGCATGAGATGTATACCCTTTAGATTAATTACTATAATAACTGGCTGAATCTCTCACTTTAAGTTATAATCCTTAAGTTTTTTTCTATTAAACCTAATTTTTGCTTTTTATCGCTGGCAAGATATATTCAATGCATTTACATTCTATAATTACCTCTCTCTATAGTAGGTTTCATTGTTACTGGTGGCCTTTCCCGTGTGAGATTCAAATGATTTACAGTAAACGATGATTTGGAAGACGTTAAGTCGGTGCATTCTCGCTTTTTATGTAGTTAACGAGGCAACATTGGATTATCAGTTTAGTATTACAGTATCAGAAAACACTGTGACTGTCTTTTTTAAGGTGCACTATACATCGTCAGGATTGCTTGACAGATTTTTGAGTAGCTTTTGAACACCCTCCCACCACAACTTCCTGATGATGATGATTATTATTATTATTATTATTATTATGATAATAAACTTTATTGCGCTTTTCAAAAAACAACATGCTTTACATGGTTGAACCAGGATAAAACATTCCAGAACAACAAAATAAAGTAAAATAAAATTACCCCCAGCCCCCAACAATAAAGTTAAATATTAATAATGAAACATCATAATGTTCTTGGCAGTGTGCCAGAATTAAACAAAATTTCGAGAGTGATTTGAAAGATTTTGCAGATTCAGCAAGACTCAGGGTCCAACAATTTCTGTCCAAAATCTTTCCAAAGCCAACATTCACTGCCACCATCTGCTGTGATTGGCTAGCTCGGTGGAGATGACAAAATAAGCTATTTATTTCTGTCACTTTTGATGACAACATAATTTAAACAATATCGCGTCTCCCCCTCTTTATGACCGCTGGCATTTCACCAAGTGTGGCCGTTCACAACAGCTATAAACATTTTTTCCTTCCAACACGGTTGGACAGCAAATCATGCAAACTGCTTCTCTTTGAGCTTAACCTGACCGTTAGTCTTCTTTATTATAAAATTGTAAAGTGATAAATTCTCTCAGCCTATGATTTGATTGGCGGCCCTGTAAACATATGGATATGTTGCTGTTCTTCTGTTACATTTCTGACAGAGTAACCGCTCAAAGCACGTTTCAAACTGATCTCTGGGAGCTGTATTATTAAAATGTGATTGTCATTGTCAACACTAACCACAAGTGTTGCCAGATATACCACAACTTAAATCTTAAGGATTATAACTCTGATATTTTAGTGTGGATTTCAGTCAAATAAATTAAAAGGCTTAGCTGGAAATGGCATTCATTTAGGACTGAGTTTCAGTTTTCAAAATAAACCCTAATCTGGACCCAGATCAGTGCTCAGTGTCTTACACTTGTGTACACTGCTGTTCAGTGATGGTGCTCTGTTCTCACCACTGTCTAAATACAACTCTATCTACTGTGACGAAACATTTTGATATGTTTGTAAATTACTTTTGAATATGTTACTAGCGCTCATCCTTAATGTTATTTTTATAATTATCATCTGTACTTTGGTTTCACCTAACAGCATTACATGAGATGATAATGCTTAAACATCATAATGTGCCATAAAAGTAGGTAGATTTACACACTATGCTAAATGACTTCATGTGTGTTTAACAAGGGTTTCATCGACAAGTCGGCCACTACAGCCCTTTTATTAAACAGCCACGTAATATAAAGTGAATTTGGTGTGGACTGAAATACGATCACACTGTGTTGCTCCAGATTTATCATCTTGAAACATCATACACTTTTTCCCTGATTTAAAGCAGGAAATAAGACAATGCAGCGCTAAACAGTGTGTCACATGTGAGTTTTTCCTGACAGACAGTAAAAGGAAAATAGACTGTGTTCATCCTGGTTAGTCTGGTGTAGGATTTCTATGTGCTGTATGTGACAGCTGTTTGATACCCACAGCATCATACCCAGGTACTTGTCCACCCTCTCTCTTTCTGTCTTGCAATTCAACTGATGTTGTTATCAAATATATTAAATGACAGTAAAGATTATATCAATTCCAGTATGATGGGGAAAAAATACATTTCAATGTGCTGTATCCTATGAATGATACAAAATAAACTTTGACATTGCACCTTTGCAAAGGCCAGATTGTGGTGTAATTGTTTATTACTCTGTGATTATATTTATTCAAAGCTTTTCAGGTGCAGTTGTTTATGTTTGATTTCTTTCAATGTTGAACAGTAGCCAGTTGAATCAGGTCTAAGTTTTAACTAAGTTGAGATAAACATCACGACATTAAAACAGGTTGCAACACAGAAATTAGTTTTTACATAGAGATTAGTTGTTGCTACATATTTAGATGATAAGTGCCGGATGTAATTGCTGTGTAGCTAACTAAACCAACTGACAAACCTAACATTAGCTTGCTAATACATTACTTGAAGAATAGAAGACGTAACATAAAATAGGGTTGGAACAATTGACTTGAACCTAACAGTCCGCTAGTATAGGGCAGGTCCCCCGCCGTAGTTTCAGCTAGTGAAGTGCAAGTAATACCCAGGCTGGTATTGCCGATATCGATACCAATACTTTTTACATATTTTATTTCTAGTTTAATGTGACCTCCCTCTCCCGTTTCTGTATTTGAGAGAAATAAGGAGTAGGCTGTAGCCTTACCAATTCAAAATAATAGCTCCATAATGACAAGAAATCAAACTACTGTCATATTCTTTAATTAAAATGAAAATATCCTGCTTAGAACTGCCGCTTCACAAGATCATCATATTATTTTGACTTAATCTCAGATGTTTAGCAAAGTTTGCGGTGTTGCCAAAGTATTTCACTGTCTTTGCACACACATCACACACAGCGTCATTATTACATTTACAGCTAAAACACAGCCAGACGTGACTGTTTTTACAGTCAGCCATAGTCAGCATTCAATCGCGGGAAATGTAAAGGGCTGCAGCTGCTCACTTCAAAGAAGCTCCGTCACAGAGCCTTAGCGCAAGCATAACTTTGACAGGCGGAAGGAAAAGTATTTCCTAACAACCGAGTAGCCTATAATTAGACCATCCTGGTGACAGTAAGATACTTATGATAATACACACACTCACTCCAAAATACTGATTTTAGATATCGATCCTTTTATATGAGTATCGATTCTAGAGCAGGAAACGTTGGTATCAGAAATATCGATACTTTAGGATCAATCCGCACATCACTAGTTTCAGCTGGGACATGTATGCGAGCAGAGAGTTTACTATGTTACACAAGCTCTCTTAGCTTTTATTTACTCTCATGAATAAATAAACAAAAAAAAATGTTGTAAGTTGCAGTTTGTCGTAAATAGGTAATGTTTAGTTTTGTGTGAAAACCGTTCAATGAACTACATCATATGTCTTGCACAATATACATCACTAACATGTTAACGCGGAAATGCTAGCTAACGTTCATTGTTTGGTTGCTACTAGCTAGTTAACTTAGCTAACTGAAATAACTAGTTTATGGCAGTTACCAGCAGTTATGACCTGATATGTGATAAGCTGCCCACTATTTATTTGGAGTATGAATTCGACAGGAGGAGTTGTCTCAGTTTTAACACATTGTACTTTTAACAGTGATGGGTTTTTTTAAATACCACAATATACATATATTTACAAAACTTTACGCTATTAAGATCAGACTAAATGAATAGTTAAATAGCATTGTTTAGATTTTCATAGCTGAATATTTACCACTCACCTTTCCCCCAGATACAAAACATGCATGAATAGGCTAGTTACTCTGAAACATACTGTTTAATACTGTTATTTTTGTTATTTTATTTATGTGACAAGTGCTGGTAAATTACAAGTTTCAAACTAGGAGTTCCTAAGAACTTAGGGAGGAATGAACACCCACATAGTGATGGATTTGCATATAGTTAGCGCAACCCAGTTTAGGAGAGCATGCTTCATCAGTGTCCCAAAGCTAAAACTGAATTTGGTAGAAGTAAATATTCCACTTTTTGGATTAAAACCTAGCACCAAAATTCGACAACTCTCTAGCATTCTCCCTCTTTCAAGCACATTTATATTTAAATTAGATTTAGTTTGATTAGTGTAGACTTTTGTAGTCGGCAGCAGTTTTAAAATGACTCTATCGTTATTTCTTGACGTCACAATCTATAGAATAAATAAGTCCTCCATGATGTTCAGTTTTGACCAATGTCATGTCTTCCTTTAAAGCTTGAATGTCACCAAAATTACCTTTATAAATGTCTTTGTTATTACACAAGTCCATTAAAATTAAAGGATTAAGCTGGCTTAAGACTTAGACTGGCTTAGAGACTTTTAAAAAAAGTATAAATATAGTATATAATTTCATTTTCTTTGAAGGCTCAGGAATTTCCTCAAACAACTGGCAACTGAAGTTTGTGGCAAACATTACTCAAACCGATTAACACCCATTTAGTGGCCTGTTGAGTATTTTTGGCAGCAGGAAGGTGTATTTGGGCCATGCCTATGTTTACTGTTTTGAAAGAACATGTCCCCCATTACAGTCATGTAGCTTATTGAAGTGTTTTTAATAGTTTTTGGCACAGAGGAATAAACTTCATCAGGGTTTAGATACACTGCCAATACTTATTAGAGGTATCAGTTCCTTGGTAGTTTTGACTTGTTTATGCTATTTGTTGACAATAAGAAAAATTAAAAATAAAAAGCAAATATCACATAGATAAATGTGAACTATAAACATAGACAAAATACACCAAAAGTTGACTCGATTAAAACAAAATAATAGAGATGAGTTCCTCATCGATCCCATCCATCCATAGGTTTTTCACTTTTATTACACATACAAATGTATTCACATTTCCTCTTACTGTGTCTCTTTCTTATTAATTTATTTTGTGTTTTCATTCAGTGCTACAGAAGGGAATCTGCTTGTTGCATCAGCCAGCTTCTTTTAAATTTGACCTCAGTGGTCTATTTTGTAATATAACTGTGTCAACAGTGTGTCAACACTTTCTGAAGAATTTTCGCCACAGACGTCCACCTTCTTCCTCTCGCATCGGCTTTATCTTGTCTTCCCCAGATTGATCTATTGCTGTGTTTGGTTTGTGTGCCACGGCAACATATCCACAATTTGCACAAAACGTTTTTTTTTAAAGTAGGACTGGACTAGTGCTGCTGCGAGTGTGCAGTGTTTGGGTTTGTCTGTGAGGAAACAGTGTGGTCGGAGTGTCTGCTCAGAGCTGAAACACTTCCTCGTACTTTTTGACTCTCATCACACAGCGACCTGCTGCAAACGCCAACGGCTCACAATCTACCTCAGAGCAGACTGACCTCACATGTGACACGCTGACTCCACATTGTCTTATCTGACTCAATATAAGACTTTTATCTCAGTTAAATTATTCGTGTGAATTTTGACGTTAAGAAGCACTGGTGGAATGTAACGATCTGGTGAGTATTTGCATATTTATTTCTGAAAACTATCTTCATATTTCTAGTTAAATGATGTTTGTTTTTGTTTTTCCTTGTTGTCCTTTCAACATCCTTTATCCTAACTTAGAAGTATTCTTAGACAATGAGTGGGCTTAAAACAAGTTGTGTGGAATTAGTTCAGGAGTAATGAATTCAGATGATAATCATCATGTGGCCATGAGGATATTTATCTTACCTGTTTCAGTTATTATAAAGCCATAAAGCAAATGCACATGCAATGCCTGTAGCGAGATCTTTTTTTATTTGAGTCACTCATTAAATTATCACGTTATCTTATAGTGAATATCAAAGTTCGTGAACACAATTGTTTATCAGCTATTACTAAAGCGGTTGAAAAGAAAAAAATGATGCAAAAAGAGAGCAACACCTTCTGTTTACCCTTTTTATATATTTTACAGACACTAAACATATTTATTTTCAACAATGTTAAAAGTGTCTTCAGACTGAGCAACAGAAAAATCACATGTCAGTCTTCTGAACTAAACTGTTCCAAAATAAAAAAGACATGCTAATGCAAAGGATTACCCATATTAAATGGGATTTAGCTTGTCATAAAATTGACATTTAATGCAGTCACAGCTTCAGCTTCATTTTTTCTGTACATATATATTCATTGAATTCTGTGCAAAAATCTATGTATGTACTGTATTATTTACAAAATACAAACTAGCAAATAACAATAACTAACAATAATTTGTTTTGCATACAAAACACCTCAAAGTAAAAAAAATAAATAAAAATAAGAAAAAGAAATGTAACCTTACAAGTGTATAATGTGAAGATAGGGGTGTGTCTTAAATATGTATGGTTTTAGCTTTAAAGCTGCCTCTTTTATTCCAATCCAATTAAGCTTCTTCATCTATAGTTCCACTGCTCTTTTAAAATACTTTAAAACATGCAACATGTCACATTTTTGTCTTATGCTACGTGGTATAACACCTCACTGTCCTCCACTGAACTCCTCCACTGCAGCTTCGCCTTCGTATAAGTGCTAGCACTGAGTCATGAAATGTGCTGTTAGGTCATATAGTTGCAACTTTGATATGTGGCTGTTTGTGTAATGTTGTCACAAAGCCATCTCTGCAGTAATTAAGCCTTTGGTGTAAAGTAAGCAACCGCTGGCATCTGACAGAGTTTAAAAGAGCGCACAAGAAGAAAAAGATTCTTTAGTCAGTTGGGATGAAAACTGACCTCCGATTTTAAAACCAAGTGACCGTCAAGGGTTTGTGAACTGTTCAAGCACAGGCAACAGTGATCAGCGCAAAACACAGAGAGGTGCATGACGAAAACCTCATCTAGAGCACACAGTGTCATACAAGGCAAAGCTTTCACACATATGACAAAACCAACATAACGCTGGAGTGGATTCAAGATTAGTCTGAATAAAAGGCCTGAATTGTTTAATTTTTAACAACATTGTGTGTTTGTTTTATCCAGACTTGTCATGTAAAGGTTGTTGACAAAAAAAACAGAACAAACAAAAGTAACCTTGAAACAACAAAATGTGAACCAGCTGTCTATAATCAACATTTTGTTAACACAACATTATCCCACTCTCTGATTAACAGAATCAACAAATGTAGAGCATATGTTAAAACGGTATACATAACTATTAAATGTACAGTTCTGCTGCCCTCTTTTGGGCAACAGATATTTCATGTATAACTTGTTCCATCATTTTAGTATTTTAGTAACTGTGTATCAAAATAAATAAACTACTGCTTCAGAGAAAGACAAATTTTTACGGGTTAAGTTGTCATAATTTATACAAATATGTAACCAGTAAGATATGGATAAGGAAAAGAAGAATGTGCCAAACTGTGATAGAAGAAATAATAACTTAAACCTGATTGTACGAGTGTCATCACAAACATAGGGATTCATTAAATTTTTAATCCCTCTAGATGACTTTGATTTCGGGTGCAGAGCTGGTCTTCCTCCTGAGTGAGTGATGCCTCGTTCTTTCTTGGTAAAGCGAGGAGGGCTGCACCACCTTCGGCCCGCAGCGAGAAGCCCCAGCCCTGGATCGACCCCGGTAACATTTAGCCAGCTAGGAAAGAAGGTGGGGTCCTGGGATACATCCTTGAAGTACTCCACAGCAGAAACACCAGATAGTAGCGGAGTGCCCATGGCATTATTACAGCAGGACCTTCAAGATGCCAACCAGTCTAATGGAAGTGGGCACCTTGAGCCATTTAGTCCCAAATCTTATGGTGGGTGACAGAATCCTTGTTTGTTTATAGGCCTTTCTCACAACCATGTCAATCAAGACTTTACAGAGACAGAAAATACACAAAACACTTTGTAGATAACTTGTTGTTGGTTGCCAATTTTGTGAAGCATTATACAATTATTCAAACAATTCTGATGATCGAACATAAGATATGAAATTATTGTAGCTGCCGGTCAACTTACCTGTCTATCTTTGTACTCAGTCTGTAGATCTGCTGAGCCCTGCAGTCCTGTCAATTCAAATACTTGTAGCCTCGTGGAGAAAGTCGAGTCTCATCCTTCTACACCACCAGTATGGTCCAGACCTCATGTGAGCTCAGGATATGCAGACAAATTGTCTGTGGGACTGGAAGACTTAACTCAGCACCCTCGGATCATGAGGGAGACCAGGAGCAGTGGCTGCTTGAAGATCAGTGCTCCCAGACAAGAGTGTCCACTCTGTCACAAAGTATGTTATCCCTCCAGTATGCCATACTTCATACTCCGAAGGACAGTACCACTTTATAATTTATATTTGTTCTGAGGACAATTCCTTAAGTTAAAAGGAAAGTTATAGTTGAGTTGAGTTTACTTAAAGTAAACTGGTAAACTACTGGGCAAACTGGCCTTCGTCCGTCTGTTTGGTCACAGTCCGGCCGTGATCACAGGGTTGCTCCTTAGCACGGTTGCATTGCCCACTTGGGGCATTGCTCTGGGTCTTAAAAAAATGAAGCCAATGTGGAAGAGGCTTAAACCTGCATTCTTTCTAATGGCCAGCAGGGGCAAATCCACTGGTTGCAAAAAGAAGTCTAGATTGCATTGGATTCAATGAGAAAAAGACCCTACTTCTCACTTTATTTATTACTTCAGTAAACATTTTCCTAATGAGTTAATGATCTCAGTCATTAGTTTCAAGTCTTTTGGGTGTTGTCGGTGTTTTCATCTAAGAACATTGAACATTTCAATGTGTTTTCAGTGCATGAAAGTTAAATGTAACATTTTGGTCGCCTAAAAATGTCTCGTTCGTGTTTGGTTATACAGAGTTGGCTGTTAATTTTTTCCAGGAACATTTAGTTTTAAGCATGTTTCACATTTTCAGGTTTCTTTTCTCAAAATATGTTTTGTGTTAAGGATTTTTTTCACTTGCCAAAATTAGCATCCCAAATTAGTATACCAGTTGAATGAATTACGGATGCACGTTACGGACTAGCTCCACCCCATATCCAAATATGGTAACTTCTGGTTCCAAAAAAACAAGTTGGCAACATCCAAAATGCCAAACTTGAGGCTTTAAAACGGTAATCCACAGTCATGGTGGCTACGTCGTTTTTGCAGTCTATACAGGGACATATGTTCCCAGCTTTGAGAAATTTATAATAGGCCTACGTGAACCGATCAGACCAAGACTTTTGACATGAGTTTACTATTGCCGGCAATAGCGACAGGTAGTTAAAAACCAAAAAAGGAGCAAATGAAATGTACGGGAGTAAACTTTTTCACATTTAAAAATGCTCTCCTGTTCTGCTCTGCCCCCAGCTATTTCTACAATAAAGTCTAAAATTACCTCTATAGTTTTTCCATTGTTAAACTGTGTTCACCTTATCTTTGCAGATATTTTCATGTCTGTCAAGTTTGAAGACTCACATATGCAAGAGTCATGGAAGCAGAGCACCTCTGTCACCAGCATACATCAAGTCCAGCAGGACAGATACTGAGCAGTCACCACGAAGGGGCAAGGTCAGCATCACATTTCTTTAAATGGAATTAACTTGTTATGCCTTTGGATAAAATGCACTCTAACTAAAACAATCAATTTCATATTCGAGGTAAGACACTCCTGAATCCATAACAACGGTGCCTGTTGTTTTAGGAGAGGACGTTTGGCTGTACAGTGTGTGGGAAAGTGTTCAAGCGCTCCTCCACCCTCTCCACTCATCTGCTCATACATTCAGACACCCGGCCCTACCCCTGCCAGTACTGTGGCAAAAGGTTCCACCAGAAGTCTGACATGAAGAAACACACCTTCATACACACCGGTATGTGTCTCCTTTGGATGTTTTTATTATGTCAAAGTCAGATGACATCATTCAATTATTAAACTGAGCTGCAGTTTTATTTTCCAACTGCTACTTGCTTCCAGCACATACACATATCCCAGCCTCGCATGTGGATTTCAAACTGTCAGAGCAGTGTCTGTTAAAGAGGTCATATTGTGCTTTTTGGCTTTTTCCCTCTCCTTTATTGAGTTATACATCTTTTTTGTGCATGTACTAGGTTTGCAAAGTGAAAAAGCCCAAAGTCCACCCCAAAGGAAGTTCCCATCTCCCACAGAAAACACTGCTCTGAACTGCTTGAAAACAGCTTGTTTGTAGTCCAGCCTTTTCTTCCTCTTTCTTGTGATGTCGCAGCAAAACATAATTCTCGCCTAGCATCAAGTCAGACACGCCCTCAAAAACACCGGTGGAAAAACACTGAGACGTCCGCCTGCTGCCCCTCCTCTCCCTTCCAAACACTAGCTACCCTCCAGGCAGTCAATGGACAGAAATTTGCTACTGTGATGTAGAAACAGAAGTCAGTTAAAACTTTATGGATGAAAGATTTTGTTACAGATTAATAACCCGCCACTCTGAAACTCTTGCAAGGGGATATACAGCTGAACCTAAGCCGTGTCTACATGCTTCCCCGCCCTACTCTACTTCTGATTGGCTAGTAGTCCTTACCTAGGAACTGTGCATGTGCAACTCCCAACAAAGATCATTTAGAGACAAGATGTATCACTCCATAGCTAAAACAAAGCGTTCAACACAGGGTGAAAAGAGGAGCTGCAGCAATGTGCAGTATGACAAAAATATGGTGTTATTTGAAAATGAAACCATGTAAACCTGTTCTGGTACAACCTCTAAATAAGATTTTGAACCTCAAAATGAGCATACCAGTAATAGGACCTCTTTAAATCAGGTTGAACATCTTATGTATTCATATGCCTTGTGCCTTCTTATTTGTGTGCCAGGGGAGAAGCCCCATGTGTGTCAGATATGTGGGAAGGCATTCAGCCAGAGCTCCAACCTCATCACCCACAGCCGTAAACACACGGACGACCGGCCCTACCGCTGTCCCCGCTGCTTCTACAGCTTCCAGCACAAAGTGGACTTGCGGCAGCACCAGGAGCACCACTGCCTCTGACACGGCCGAGACAGCATCTTCAGCCTTTTACCAGAGGAAACACATTCATTTGTTGTTAAGTCAGATCGCACATCCAAAGCTATTGTATGTTATAATTTAGATTCAACTGTCTTTTAGGACACTGAGCTAAGAAGGATACTTTTTACTCTGCTCACAGGTTTCCAACACAGTAATGGCATTATTACAGAACCCTTGCAGCAGAACAATAGTTACCTTGAACCTACTGTGTACCTATTCATTTGTAAAAATCCAAGTAGTACTTAGTATTCTGAGTTACACTTGTGTTAATTACAGTGTTTATATTTATATACAACAATGTATACCTTTATTTGTGACTTGTTTTAATTAAAAGTATGTCAATAGCTGAGAAATTAAGGAAGTGCTGCTTTTTCCTCACATGATATGTTCCTGTTGTCTGATCACGTGAGGGCGGACCTCAAAGGTTTATGTGCAGCCAAACTTTTACTTTCCCTCTACAGTACACACATTTGATATGGTAGAAAGGTAGCATTGACACAGACTGGTGACACCTCACGATTTTATTACATCTCACTTTGAATTAATAGAGTACAGAATCAGTATGAAGTAAATGATCTATATCCAGGAGATGCCTCAACAGCAGTACACAAGGCTAGAGTGAATATTACTTCAAGTCATCACAGCAAGAGTTCACACTAAATACAATGAAACTGAGATATCCATTAGTGTTTTTGCGTGACGTTTATTTATCTTAAGTTTTGACACAGAGTGTGTCCTTGAATATTTTTTTTTATGTGGTCATTTTGAGCTGTTAAAAGCCATTGATTTTGTACCACTGAGCTCTGGCAACAACATCATTGGAGTAGTCTTTACCCGTTGTGTGGGAATCCACGTTTTCATAGGAATGGACGTTTCTGTCCCCCATATTGTAGGCTGCTATTCCTCCTGCAGAGACAAATGAGAGCAAAGCTAAGCAAAGTGTGAAGATAGCTGGTGCATGTGCGAAGTCTACGGGTTCAGGAAAACAAACCCTTCAGCTGCTGCTCCGGGCTCCAGCCAGGAAATTTGTTGCGGATCCTATTGATGAAAAACACCAAGATATCAGTGCCTTGGCAGAGGTGTTCCTCACTGTCCCATGCACCCAGTGCAGTGTGTCCACCTCCGTTTGGATTCACATCAACCTACAGAAATGGGATGAACATTGCACTTATTGTAATGTGAGGCTCTAAGAGGATGTGGGTAATATTTGTTTAGACCTGCATCAGTCCCCAGGCGTTATACGCTCCTCTCTTTTCGTCATAGTCTCCCCAGCCATTGTGTAGTACATTTCCGGCCCTGGACTCCCTGGAGATGATGGCAGCAATGAGAGCTGGTTCAATTCCATATTTAGCTCCCGCATAGTTTATTTTGGACTTGTACTTTTCCATTCTGCCCGCGTCAGTCTTTGCCATGGTTTGTGATGCCCTCTGACCTTTAGAGAGAAATCAAGCAGAGAACAAGAACATGGCCTCAGTGTTTAATATGCATCTATTTTCCTGTCATCTACAAAAACCTGTAGCAACCTTTCTGGATGCAGATGATGAGGGCTGTGTGGGGTTTATTTTCCACAATTTGATCAAATCATCGCCTGAATTTCTCACAGCAGTATTTACCTGAGTATCCCAGCTTGTCCTGCTGAGCTGTTTGTGCCGAAGCACCAGTAGTTTCAACACTCATGATGTTTCCGTAACCTGCCAATGTTCATGTAATTAGATTATTTTTCATCCACACACATCAACAACGTAACGTTTGCATTGCATGCCTGGCACTAAAGGAGCTTGTTGTGTTTTTTAAAGAAAAAAGGTTAAACGACAGATAAGACAATGTTAAAATAGGCTTTTAGATTGGATTAGATTAGCTTTATAGCTTTGTTGAAAAGTTAAAAGGCAGCAATACAGCTAACGTTAACTGGCCAGCGATAAAGCCAAACCTTCTTTATCTTATCCCTGTTTTCTTCTGTCTGACAACTTTAGCTGCCGACGACACGTAGCCTAACGTTACCGAAAACTGTCTCTATCACAGAGCAACAGGTGCCGAATTCTGCCTGCCTGACAACAGAGGTGGATGCATATCTCGGCAGATCAGCCTACAACATGTGATCTTCCCGAATTATGCATCCCCCTCTTAAGGTCCTTTTCAGACACTTGCTGTGCTCATTGATCAAACGTGCTTACAGCTAAAAGTTCAATAGTAAGACGTTTGCACCCACCCATCTTCCCGGTTTCCTCTTCTCCTGGTCTCTGAAATTGAAATGTGAGAGCTGCAACACAGTCTCCTCTGTACACTTTTGGTGAAAGTACGTAGGACTATTTATACCCAGTGTGTTCCTTTTAGTTTCGCTATGACTTCCTCATACTTCCTGCTATTCTAGTTTCTGCCTGTAGAGGGCCTTATGAAACAGCTCAGCTAGAAGCTCACTGTGGCAGGCAAAGTAAAGTTTGGCAAGATTTGTTCAAATTCCACAAAGCAACTCCCTTTCATTTTAGGAATATTGAGATTTTGAAATAATGCACACAAGTCTACATCTTTTCATTTTTATTCCTTAATAGAAGTCTGAGATCCCTGATATTTTGCAGGACAACTGAAATCTGCTGAGGTGATGTTCAGTCTTTCAACCTGAACCCTGGTCATAGTAATTTTAATTTGTTGATTTTTTAATTGCCTTTCAGCATGAAATATATTTTACTTGTTTTGAAATTCAGACCCAAGGGCAGGTAGCTTAATCTTTCATTTTCATGAACAGTCAAAAGTTCATCATTGCAAAGCAGCAGGCAAAAACTAAAAGGTCACAGTGACCTGCCTATGTTTCTTTCCTGTGCAGCACAACAATGAAACTGTAACTCCCAAAGTTCAGATGGAAATGTCACTGTGGAACATCACTTTAAACTTTTCCATTCGGCAAAGATATGCAACAGTTGTGTAACACACACATTTCCCCATTACATCTGCTTTTCTTAGTGCTTCAGAAAGCAACTTTTCCAACAAGTAGCTAAGAGGAAGCTTTTTTTTGCTGTCATTTACAAAAAACAAACCATTGGCTTGACCAAATACAAAGGTTAGAAGGATAATGAAAATGGGTTCAGTCACGATGCATCATCTTTTTTTCCCCCAGCGTGGTTCTCCTGGTGAAAACCTATTCTATACTTTGTTTCATTGTCACAGTCTCTCTCCCTCACCCTGGCCATCCTTTGTGTTGCACTTTTGAGTTTAGTATCTGCCTTAGTATGTTGAGTTTTGGGTTCTGTCCTGTCTAGTGTCCAGTATCTGCTATATAGTCTGTTGTGTTTTGAGTTCCTCTGAGTTATTGTGTGGTCAGTTCATTATCTGTTTAGTTGGTCTTTGATTCCATGTCATGTTCTTAGTCTTGTACTTTAGTTCAAGTCTTTAGGGTTTACTCCGGGTCTTGTGTTCTCTGTTAAGCTCTGTACTGTGTTCTAGTTCTGTGTTCTGATATTTTGTAACGTGTGCGTTTCTGTGTTGTTGCTTATTCACTCTGACCCAGATCTGCTTGTCATGTCAAGTCTCTGTTTTCCTCTGCTCTCTCTGCCTCGTTAGTCTCATGTCTGTCACCTGTGTTGCTCCCGCCCTGCTCGTTAGTCCCTGTGTATATACACCTGGTGTTTCTGTCTTGTCTTTGTTCATGTTACCCCACAGTCTGTCGTGCATGTACTCTCTGCCTGTAACCAGCCTTGCTTGTCTTGTCTCCCTGTACCTTCGGATTTCTGTTAGGATCACCTTGTTTTTTGGACTTTTTGGTTAACCAGCCACTCCGTCAGTAAGTGTGCTCGCCTTTAGTTTGTTTTCCATCAATAAACCCCCGTTGAACTATACCTGCTCCGCTCTGTCCTGCGTTTGGGTCCTCCAACCTGCCTCCACACCACTAATCATGACAACTTTATTTTGCCTGCTCCCTGACAGATCTGTTTACCTGTTTGGACTGCCTTCTCTGGATCTGACACTTGCCTTCCTGATTGTAAACCTTGCACTTTATTGTTTATATCCTCTGTATATTTTGCATTTCTTTTTTATGTTTGGCATGGTGCTACTTGTATTTATTTTTGCATCAATCGTACTCCTTTATTGAGTCATAACTCAGTCAAATGTGAACACGACAACATGATACATTTCTAGATTCAGTGTGACTTACACTTTCCAAGGCTAAAGACATACTATAGATAAAGATGTCAATATTGGGTTAGTAAATCAACATCATCTGGAGTTTTTATAACTCCAGAACTTACCTGTGTCATGGATTGGGGCGAGGACCCAAATGCAGACAATGGCAAGGTGAGGAGGCTGGAGTTCAAAAAAGTTTATTAATTCAAAAAACTAAATTAAGCAGGCTTACAAGGAGCTCGAGGCAAAGTCCAACAAAGGTACTCCAAAACACAGGGAATAATCCAGAACAAGGAAGACAAAGGAACAGGCAGGAACACTCAACTTTAGGCACAAGGACGTGATACATATACACAGGGACTAACGAGCGGGGCGGGAGCAACACAGGTGAGCGGGATCAGGGCTAACGAGGCAGAGAGGCAAGCAGGCAGGCAGAGAGACAGCAGGGGGAAACAGAGAGAACACTAGACACGCAGACATGGGGCAGAGTGAATAACCAAGAAGACAGAAACACTCACAAGTTACAAAGAACCAGAACCTAAACGAGAACACAGAACCAGAACACAGAGTACACAGGAGACCAAATCACAATAATACAAACAAGGACCAGGAATGAATACCAAAACATGAACTAAGGACATGGAACTAAACTCAGACTCCCAAACAAGACACACAGACAGGATAATGACAACCTGAGAATCCCCACAAGTTTTCCTCGGTATCAAAGTAATACTGTGATAGTTGTCTGTACATTAGAAACAAGTCCTAATAGCTAATTCGGCATAACACAAAAACAGCCTACAGGTGTGCCATCGTCTGGTCTGAGGAAGGGTGCACGGTGTCAGACTTTGAAAACCCTTGGTGTTTTGACATATTACGCTCATTACAGACACTGTTTTGTCTATCATTTTATTAGGTTGTGGGCAGTTTCAGGTTTTAAAAGCCACCATTGCTTTTGTACCACTGAGCTCTGGCAACAACATCATTGGAGTAGTCTCCACATGAGGTTCCGGCGTCCACCTCTTCGTAGGAAAGGATGTTCCCATCTCCTGCATTGTAGGCTGCTATCCCTCCTGCAGGGACAAACACAAATGAGAACAAAGCAAAACAAAGTGTGATGGGAGTTTGTCATAAGTCTACTGATTCAGTAAAACAAACCTTTCAGCTGCTGCTCCTTGCTCCAGTCAGGAAATGCATGCTTTATGCGTAAAATGAAATGAATCAGGATGTCGGTGGCCTGGCAGAGGTGTTCCTCACTGTCCCATGAGCCTTTTGGGGTGTGTCCACCTCCATGTGAATTGACATCAATCTGTGGAAATGTTAATTCACAAAGTTCACATCACTGATGTTGTATTGTAAGGTAAGCGACTGATAAGAGGGAGCGAGTAAAACTGTTTACCTGCATCAGCCCATAGGCATTGTATTTCTGTCTCTTTTCATCATAGCACCCCCAGCCTCCCATCAGGGTCTTTCCAGCCCTGCATGATCTGGAGATGATGGCAGCAATGAGAGCAGGATCAACTCCTTTCTGATGAGCCACGTTTTTGATGATGGATTTGTAGTTGTTCATTTCTATCAGATCAGTCTCTGCCATGGCGTGTGATGCCCTCATACCTGTATGTACAATGAAGTAGTCATGGAGAGAAAAGGAATATGGCCTCAGTGCAGGTCTCTCATCTGTAAAGTTACACTGTAGATAGGACTGCACGATTAATCTAATTGCAACCGCGATGTCATCATGTGCGATTTCATTACTGCAAAAAGTGTGCGATTTGAGCAGAAAAAGTGTGCTCTGTGTGTGTGAGACTCCTCTCAGTTTGCACTGCAGTCTGATCATTATTTATATAAGTACAACCACAAAAAGTAATGTATGGGCAGTGAGGAGTAATACTAAAGACAACAACCTACCATAACCCCCACTCCTCGCCGCTAATCGTTCAAAACATATCTGGTGTTATGCCTAGTTTTGGATGCCTGCAAAGTATTGCATGCACCTCCAAATAGGCTACTGCTTTTAAATGCTATAATATCCTTCGTGGGGTTCATCAATGGTGATTAATGATTCGAAGTATATATTTTTTGAACGTTTACAGTCGTTAATATTTTATTACACTTTGTAGAAGTAGCATTCATTGAGATTCAGCTAAAAGACGTGGTGATTACCACGTTTGATCAATGAGCACAGCAAGTGTCTGAAAAGGACCTTAAGAGGGGGATGCATAATTCGGAAGATCACATGTTGTAGGCTGATCTGCCGAGATATGCATCCACCTCTGTTGGCAGGCAGGCAGAATTCGGCACCTGTTGCTCTGTGATAGAGACAGTTTTCGGTAACGTTAGGCTACGTGTCGTCGGCAGCTAAAGTTGTCAGACAGAAGAAAACAGGGATAAGATAAAGAAGGTTTGGCTTTATCGCTGGCCAGTTAACGTTAGCTGTATTGCTGCCTTTTAACTTTTCAACAAAGCTATAAAGCCGATGTCAGTCACTTCTCGTCAACCGACCAATCACAGCCTGGATGGGGCGGGGCATTATAAAAAGTTTGACGTGCTACAGCAAATCATTAAATGTTGAACAATATGATTATTGACAAGTTAATACTTTGCATTAACAAATTAGAGACAAATATAGATAATTTGGCTTGCACAAGGATTAAATAAATAAAAACAACCCACAGAAATGAAACAGTTGTAACTGGATTTAATATTCAACTAGTGGTAAAATAGTATAGCCTACATGAAATTATAATAAATATAGTAATTAATGTATTAACATTATACTCTTACACTAGGAGGAACTAGTGTCAATGAGGTTGTGGAAAGAGCCTGTGCAGTGGACAGATGTAGATTTAGATCCAGGATGCCGCTGTGCCAGTATTTGCCTCCTCCTGAGAGCAACATGCACCCCTTGATCTGTTTTACTAAAGTTATTGTTATAAATATTGTTTATTATTTAACTTTGTTCAAGTTGAGAAAAACACATTTCAAAATGTTTTGTGTATTTTCCTTGACAATCAAGCAAGTAGACTCATAGTAGGCTACCATTTGTTCCATTATAAACAAATCGCAATATTGTCCACAATAATAACAATATGACTTTTTCTCCAAATCGTGCAGCTCTAACATATACCGAATATATTTAACTAGATGGATTAGTAATGTTAACCTGAGTATTTCAGCTTGTCCTGCTGAGCTGTTCCCATTGAGGCACCAGTAGTTTCCACTATCATGATGTCGCCATAACCTACAAACAGTTTATTAGATCATTTTACATCAACCACACCTGCAATTTAACAGGAGCACAAAGCATGAGGACCAGAAAGTATTTCACATCATACAAAACCACTCACTTACAGGAAACAGATGTCAGCGATCCTTCACTTATGTCTTTAGCTAGAAATATACAAAGACACATTACACTACATTACATTATATTTACTCATGTGGCAGACGCTTTTATCCAAAGCGACTTACATTTGAGATGAACCAACATACAAGCATCAACAAAGCATCAAATACAGCATGAGATCTACAATTGACAATACATAGCCTACTAACTAGTAAGAGCAGACACAATGTTGAATATCGCTGAAGTAATTCATTGAAAGACTTCTGTAGGTATATTATTTTATTTTTAAAATGAAAGTAAAAATAATTGGTCAAACTATACTTTTAAGATAAGAAGATGATAAGACTAAGAAACTGAAACTTGTGTTTTCAGTTTAAATATCACTGACTGATCACTGATAAAAACTGTTACTGAAATACTTTCTATGGCTCTGAAACTTTTTCATCTCTTGAACTTGGAGACCAATTATTACTAACAGATACCCTGTGTTACAAACTAGGACAAACTAAAAAGACATGGGCTAGGAGGGTCTAATGAAATAAGCTATCAAGGTTGCATTATGGCAGTGGTTGTCAAACTGGGGGGTGGCGTAGAGCCACTTCAGGGGGATGTGGATGTGGAGCTGACCGGAAGTTGAATGAATGGTTCATGTGGTGAAAAGTGCTCTGATGATAGCTTGGCTATTTTGCTAACCTGAATCTTGTTTATTTCAATCACCTGATTGCTAATGATTGATAAAAATGAAATCCACTTTTGCTAGGTGTGGCAGGAACATTTGGGTGGCCTGACAGAAAAAGGTTTGAGATTCGCTGCATTATGGGAAGTGTTGTTCCAGTGTTTCGCTGCTGCACAGATGGCATTCTTTCTTTCACCTGTCTCTTGCTAGCCCCCCGACTTTATGGCAGTGCAAATTGCTGGACCCTTTATTATAGACTTCATTAATGTGGCCGGTTTTGTTGAGTCCAAAATATGAAAGTAATGTTTTGATCAACTTTTTATTTCTAATGGAAAAGAGTTGGTCTGCCACTGAAACAGAAAGCAGGTTTCACCATCTGAGAGAGAGACCTGTGCTGCCTCCCAATCAAAGTTGGGGGCGGGAAAAACAGTTATCTTTTTAATACACACCAAGCCATGAGAGTTAAAGTTGTGTGTACACAAGATAGGCCTACATCAGTTTGGATGGTTTGGTTTAGCGTCCCGAAACTGGAATGCTTGGAGGTCGCTTTTTAATACTGCAGTGAAGCCAGCCTCCACTTTGAAAACAAAGATATATCTAATGTAGTTTTTTAAAATTACAGCCCTGGAAAGTGTCTAATATTGTCACTGAATTTCCCTATTTTAGATTGATGTAAAAAGAAAGGCTTCTGTTTCCACTTCTATTTTGAAATGGGCTGCAACACGATGTTACAGTAATGCTTAGAAAAAACACACATCGCAAACAGAGCGAGGGCTGGCTTGACTGCAGTTTTCGAAGTGGAGGCTGGCTTGACTGCAGTTTTTAACGGAGGTGGGGCGATTAAGCAGACGTAGACTTATAGTTGATCTCCAACCTTCAAATCTTTTCTGTTGTAAAGCCGAAAAATGCAGTTTGAAAACACATCTGATCTCATCTTATCTCACTCCTACAACCAAACCTCCGCCCTTGAGTAAACCAAACTGACGTGAAACACACCGAAGCTCTCTCTTTGCGCGTTGCAGCCAATCTCCTTCAGCGTCTCCAGAGCCACTTCCTTGGCCCCGGACTCTGTGAAGGTTGTAACCAGGACATCTACAATTTCCAGATAGTTTTGGCCTTCCAGGGCTCTGCGCCTGACCCGCGGCTCATCCCTGCGGTCCAAGATAGCGGAGCAGAACTGCATTAGCTGTATATCACTCAAATCCTCCAGCATGTCGGTCAGAGCGCGTTTAACGGTCTTGGGAGGCATCTTTGCAACCGCACTTACTACGGAATTTCCTTCCTGACTCCAAATTCTCCAAACAGAAGCCCCCCTAAGAAACCTTTAACCAGGCACCAGCCAAACTCTGACGTTTTCTGAGAATTTAAAGAAAATTTCTCATTTTATGTAGGTAAGACACAGACCTCCAGAGGCACCCACGCTTACTGTGTTTCAATTCAGATCGCACTGGGAAAAATACTACACAGCGTTCAAAACCTTCAGTTGACTTATGGTGCTTTCAGACCAAAAGCGAAACCAGCGTTCGGGGCGGTGAGTTTGCATACGAAGTCAATGCAAAGACGCGTAGAGCCGCGATTTCCTGTCGGGCTGCGCGAAGGGGGCGCTTCAACTCAAGCGAAGCAGTCGCATGAGGCTGAGTCGCGATAGCCTATCGGTGTTGAGATTGTCCGTACGTCACCGAGGCTTCAGAGCGTTGTGTGGAGAAGGCATCCAGCGGTGAAGACGGACCTTCGACTTCATCAAAGTCAATGAAAAATATTCCATGTGGATTGTTTAATTTATCGTTTTGGTATTGTTTTATTAACGAGGTTTGTGTAGCGCAAGCTAGCACTTATAAACTTTTTTATAGGCTTACGTTATGTGTTACCGAACTTCGTATTATTCATTGCACTCAATTGAGAATGTCTACACAAGACGAGCATTTAGTTTCACCCGTAAAGCAAACATTTATTTCGCGATGGTGATGTTATAACAGACCACGTAGTCGATCACTTTGTCATCCATGTTACTGTTTAGAAGCTAGATTCAGATAGACTGTCGCGTTTTTCAAGTAGGCTGCTCCAACATAAGCCATCGATACTGTATCAACATCACTGTAATCAGTTTAACACTTTGCTCGCCTCAACGTTACATCTCCTTGACTCGAAATGTACGTTAAACTGAATGCAGCATTGTAGACAATATTTTGTCCTTGTAACCCATGTTTCCATTGCATGGCCTTTGGATATTGCTGGAAATTGTCCCCCTCTTTAAAGGGTAAATTATTATAGCAATTTAATAATGCATTGCATTTAAACAGAACTTTTCATACACAAAAAGCCATAACAGTAGCCTCCTACCAGGCTGGACATGCAGTCTGCCAAAATATGTTTCCCTCTCCATAATGCACAGATGATGGCCTACCATCAAGTATTTAATTTTGTATACTTCACATCATGACTAATAACAGGGGTGAATATGGAGACGTTTCTATTTTCCTAGCAAAAGTTACAGTGGGTTACAAATTATGTTGTATTACTATTGTATTATTATTATTATTATGACTGTATTTTCAACTTGCCATAAAATGTATCCCCACTTTATAATGTACAGATGATGGCCTACTGTCAAGTATATAATTTTGTATACTTTACATCATGACTAATAACAGGGGTGAATATGGAGACGTTTCTATTTTCCTAGTAAAAGTTTTTATATTTATATAAAAACCAGACAAAACTGGACATTACTTGGAGAAAAGAAAGCGACAATGGTCCTTGTCAGTGTTTTACAATTTTAGGCTATATGATGTTTTGGGGTTAGGGGGCATCATATTTTAATACGATCATCGCATGTTTATAGCGTCTCTGTCCTGACCTATCTCTAAAATAGTCCACTTTTCATGAGCTCAGAAAAAACGGCCCTGTTTTCAACTTTGTGAGGATGCACTTTCTAGCTCTGAGGGGGGTTTAAATAGTTTGTATAAGTAGGATAATTTTTAAGGAACACTTATTCCTTTATTTTATCACAAAAATCACCCTCTGGGTCTCTGGGAGGGCAACTAACTAAGCTTGTGTTGTCTGCTAACTAACCCTATTCCGATTTTGCACACATATAACTGTTCAGTTATATTTCCCGTGGATTTTGTCTCCCTACATTGTGGTCTGTCGTGTAGGCCTACGGCAGTGGTCTATGTTCTGTGAAAGCCTTCTCTACACTGCCAGATTTTGACAGTGAATAGACTTATTCGTTTAATTTTTATTAAATTTTTTGCCTAGAACAGTGATATTTGAAGTATTCAGTCTTAAGATAATAAGAATCTGTCTTAAAAATTCAAAATGTAAAGGCTAATACACAAGTGTGAGATCCTTTTCAGGTAATCATTTAAGTACATAATTAATTTTACATAAAGTTACCTGCAGATGGCGCCGATGTCAATGAAATGAAACTTACTTGCAAAGGTTTACCATGCACAACTGGAACGGGTTGAACATTATAGTCTACACTAGTATTTCTACAGGCTAGATGGTTTATCTGGAATTTTTGTGGAAACCCCACAACTATTTAATGAAAACTGTAAAAAATAAATAAATAAATAAAATATACTTAAAAACAATAGACTTGATGGGTTAAGGGAGGTGTAAATGAGTGGTTCAGTGACAAAAGCTTTTTAGTCAATAGTTTTTCAACTCTCTATTTTGCAGCATTTTGTCAGTGTCCATCCTATGAGGTCCATCTGGAGTTCTTTGTTTTCAGTCTCTGAAGCGGTTATAAAGCTATAAAGCAAGTATTAATGTATTAATGTGGTTTCATATCCCAGACACCCAGGTTCTCTGGCTCAGCATCCTCACTGTAAAGGTTTGACTGATTTTCTGAAGTGTGTTTTTAGTTGATTCCTGCATTATATCCACTGCATCTTCTTCCCATGCTATGATGACCTCTACAAAGTAAACAGTGTGTTGGATGTAGCAGGTCATTTGGTGTCAGTATTTGAGGGAAAGTGGGTCAAGTTAAAGTGCAACATTATGGGAAAATAGTGTAACGGTGATCTTACACCAGTGGAACTGTCAATCTAAATGATACTTGTCTCTGTCTTTCCAAAACTGCACCTTGCACCCCTGCAATACGCTTTATTATGTGTGTTGTTTTAAGTTTTCTGTTTACATAGTCAAGTGTTTACTGAGTCCTGGACCTGAGCTTTTTCCTCTTTCCTATTTATGAGGAAACACAGCAGACAGTAATGAAATTATCCACCAACTTGCATGGAGTTTTATCCTTTTAGATTGTATGTCTTTGTCTTTAAATTACCTCACCGAGGCAATCTGACACCACACCCAGCAAGGTTTCTAACACCACATTAATTCACTACTGGTTAATGTCACTTTCCTAATTAGCTGCATTGATTCTACTCAATAGTTCACAGTCGCATCCACTCAAATGCCTTAAGCCTTTAACAAGTAATGGTGGCACAAAAATAAAGAATTGTACAAAAAAACACCAAATTTCTGACACTTTGAGGAAAAGTCACTGACTGAAGTCAACTCGGACTTCTGTGAATGTTATGTTATTCATTCACAAAAACATTAAAATGCAGGATGCCAATCATTCTAAGGTTCATAGTTTTCTCTGTAAAGTTAATGCTGTCACTGCACTGTCAATGTGTATTAGAAATAATCCCATTTATTACAGTTGGCCTCTTCACTATTCTGTTCTTGAAGAGCCAGGTTCCCGTAAAATAAATTTTATCTCTGTCCCATTGATTTGTTACTTGGAACAAAACGTGTATTATTCCTGTACATACATACATGCCTGACAATGTACATAAAGTCTCCATTAATATGATCAGACATGTATTCATAAATTGAAAGGTTGATTAAAGCCACAAATCCCACAGTTAGCAATTATTATAAGATTAACAACCATCATCTACAAATAAAACTAACTCATCTTAGTTGTAAGGACCTTTTAGGAGACCCAAACCTGAATGAGCTCCAGAGAGCCTCAGTATTAAACCCACTGGTGCCCCGTAGGTGAGGATGACCAGACAGATCCATCTGGTTGGCCATCATTCAAAGCAACATTGATTTAAATTAATCTGCACTGGAAGAGGTGGATGGGAACCGAGTCAACTACGTCAAAATGAGAAACTAGTCCAGAGTCTGGAGGATTAATTCAAGAGCCATTTCATACAGTTATACTATTACTAGAAGTAATAAAAATGAAGATTTATAAATGGTGTTTAAAAATCCCGGACTGGCAGTGGGGGTGCTGTCATTCCCTGAAGTGCTCCCAGCTTCTTATTTCTGAAAAAAAGGCGTCTCCAGGGCAGGCGGTGTAGTTCACTGCCTGTCTGTGGCCGTGGATGGTGAAGTTGGAAGTCAGTCGTCCTCCATCTACTGCACATCGGGCTAGACGATGGCGCAACAGGTCCATGGCATGGCGAGACGGCAGCGTGGCAGTGTAGTTACCAATGATTGACACTCCGTACCCAATGTCATTGTGCCCTCTGGTGTGTGTGCCAAGATGGTTCCAACCTCTGCCTTCATAGACATAGCCGTCAGACCCGACCACAAAGCTGAGGGCATGAAGATGAGGCATGAGCAGGCTGCAGCACATGATTAGTGAATGCAGTGTAGGCTATAGTAACTGGTCTGAAGTAAACTTAAACATGAATGCAATGTTAAAACAAATAGTGTAAAATATTCAGAATGAATGCCAAATGAATTTTAAAGATTTAAGATTTTTAAACATTTCCAACAATATGTGCTTACATGCATAAACGACATGCAATCAGCAGCATTCTTACAAATACTCCCATTAACAGTAACACAATATGAATAGGCCTTAAAGTAATGATTGGTGATTAGCCTAGCTTGGCATAATCGCTTCCTGTCTCCACACTAAATACAGATACAAAAGCATTACTCAATCAATCTTCTCATCTAACTCTCAGCAAAAGAAAGCAAATGTATCATACATATATTAAGTGTGTTTCCCAAGATGTCAGACCATTCCTTTAAAGGTTACCTGTATGCTATGTCGCTCCAGCCACGATCTTCCTGGTGGAAACGCTGCATGGATCTCATGTTGCGAGAGCAGTTTGGGAAGGATAAACAGGGCGAGGATGGCTCATAGGTGTGGTGAACATAGAGAAATTGGAGGGGCAGGGACAGTGGGATAGGTGCACCCTTTTGGGCTTTTGCCCCCCACTGACAACGAGGGATGATTTGAGGGCAGTCTGAGGAGAGGAGGAGAGAGGATGGTGGTTAGGATTTTAAAACCACTACAGATTTTCTATGTCACAAGCTTATTTTTTCAACATTCAAAACTAGAGGTCCAAGACTGGAGTCTACAGCCTGACCGATATTATCTTATATCAGATATACAGTATGAATATCTATTTATATGTTGGCTGATAAGCCACAAGAAATTTCTGTACAGAAAAACAGAAGATATATTTCAAGTAATTTAGAAAGAATGATGCTATTATGTAGTTTGTCCACCAGAAAAGAACAAAAAGTTGTTTATTTACAAATCCAGCAACATTCTCATTTATTTTGGGATCTGTGTCCACCTGTTGAATATAAGTCACATAATATTCACTTTACTTGTCTCTGTTTTTGGTCTCTACCAACTAGCAGGTATAGTGTACAGTGGGTTTATCAAAGCCTTTTCGTTAACAGCGTCTGCCTGCTGTTACCAAAACAGCTATTGTTAAATGCTGAAGGACACAAAGTAGAAGCACAGTCCTGTGTGTGAAATCCCTTTTTCAACCGGGGATGAACCTACCCTTTAGTGGATTCTTATGAAAAATGTTTGTTTATGTAATGTGTTTATGCAAAATAAAAACTGATTGATGAAAACTGAATTTTCTACACTCTCAAAGTTCAATGTTGTGGCTCAAAACTCCAGTATTTGTTGGGCTATCCAAGACTCACCAGACTACACACAATATAACATAGTTCTTGGTAACACTTTATTTTAAGGTGCTTGTAATAAGCAGTAATTAACACTTTAAGATGCTTATAAACACAAATAATTGTTAACTAAAGCACAATTAACAAATTTATAATTGCTTATAAGACACTAATAGGCTGTTATTAGAAACTTGTTGATGGTTTATATACCTGTCATTAACATTAATAAGATGTTTATTAACATTAATTAGACTTTATAAGGATTGGTTATTGAGAAAATAACAGTTGTTATTTCCTTGTAAGACACTTGTAGTGAACTTATTAAAATAATCTTAATGTTAATAGGCAGCTTATAAAATACATCTTTATTAACATTGATAAGACTTTATAAGTATTTTCTCAAAATATGAATGAACACATTTCTTATTTCTTATTAGCATCGGTATGAGCACTTACTAGAAACTTGTTAACAAGTTATATATAGGCCTACCTTAAGAACCTTAATAAAATGTTTATTAACATTAATAGTAATATCCCAAAATACGTTTATTATTGGCTTGTAAGATATTTATGAGCTCCACCCAAACAGAAGAGGTAGCAGAGATCCCTCTTTATTAAAACTTATTTAAGACTGCACCAAATTCCAAGTAGGAGTAAATGTTGTAATGTAATTAAATCTGTGATATTAACAATAAAATGTTAAGTTTGTATCTTTACATGAATATATCAAGTTTTGAATAAATAGGGCCTATGTATTGTGCATTTTTTCTTTACAAAATGTATGAAGTAATCACAGCCAATCTTCTTAGTTACACACACACACACACACACACACACACACACACACACACACACACACACACAACAAACCTATATACTCAGTATAAAAAATTATTGTGCAGGAGGAGCCTGGAGGAGCCTGGAGGAGCCTCGTTGACTCCAACTTCCCTTCCTGTTCTGTTTGTCTGGAAACCCCTTGCATTTCATACGAGGAACGTGGATGTAATTTAAGGTACGAAAACAGTTAGCAAAGTGGTTAGCTACGTGTCATTTGGAGATAATGTTGTTACATTGGATTTATACTGGAAGCCGGAGTAAGGTATCTAAGTTACTATTATTTCTTAAGCTGGTAGGTGGCTTTAGTGGCTTCATGTGTAATTGAAACTCTGCCAGTGTGCCGATAGTTGGCTCTAGTATGAAGTTAATTTGAAGCTAATGTTAGCATGCAGCTATAAAATAAGGCATGTAGTGTAAGCCAACATAGGCACCTGGATGTTTAGAGCAGCTTGAATAATGTCTTAGAGTAATTTAACTTTGTTTTCTTTTAACCTGGACATTTGAAATTGGTAGAAGGCGATAGAAGCTACAATGTAACATTAAGAGGCAGCTACACGCCTTCAATTTACATCCACAACATGTGCTTGTTTTGCCACTGACATGCTCAGATAATTATTCTGTGTCTGACAACATTATGGAAAGGATCCCTGCTGAGGTCGACCTTTTGTTAAAGAGTAAGATCCTTTTTGTTTTAACATGGAACATCCCTGAAATCGCCAAACCCACCAGACTCTATTCGAATTAACCGTAATTTTATCATCATAAAACACATTTCATTTAAAGTCGACAGAAACAAGATAAAACCTTCACAAAACATCTTAGTTGTCTTTCCGTTGTTCCAACAACCACCACTCTGGTTTGGTTGAAATAACCCTAAATTCAACCATTTACATGTAACAATTATGCTGGCTCTATACATGCTAAAAGTATTGATTATTAAATGGAGTCTGGTGTGTTTGGTGATGGCGATTTTGGAGTCGTTTCTGGTTAAACGAAAATAATTTTAATCTTTACAAAAATGTCTCTCTCTGTAAGGACCCTTTCTATAATGTTGTCAGACACTTATAATAACAATCTGAACCTGTTATTGGCAATAACAGCACTTTTAGTGGATAGTAAATAATACATATATATATGTATATATATGTACAGAAGTATATAGGGTAGCTGTATTAGGAATGCAAATTACCAAGTGATGTGCAATCTGTGCATATTGAGTGTGTGAATCTACAATTTACAGTTATATTAACTAGCTCATGGGCCAGGCAAAAAGTTGTTTTCATTTCAGATGGCAGAGTTCTACTTGTCCTGTTTGGGGGTTTTTTTGCATTTCACAGAGCAAATTGATAGATCTAAATAGTTTTTTTTACTATGAACAGCAAGATTTCATTTCAAATGTGTATGCACCAGATGTTGCTTGCTGTGCATTAGTTCCCATTACCTTGATAATCTATTTTTATTGATCCTATGTTGGTAGTTTCTAGGGTTACTTTTTCTTGGTATACTGTTTCTCTTTCCCATGTGTCTCTAATTCCTTTTCACATTCCCAGGGAAGTTGGACAGACACACGTAGATTGGAAGGGAGGAGCTGTTGGGAAGGAATTTGATGAGACCCTTGACATCATAAACGAGGCATGTACTTTTAATATTGTAGCTGTTGGTTTAATGTTGTAGCATTCTGATATCTGTACTGTAAGATAATCTCGTATTCCATATATTTGAAAGAGAGAAGCTGTGATCAGAGGCCTCATTCTCTACCTTGAGGACTTAATCAAGGACTATCAGGTAAAGAAAAGTTTTTTTTCTGACCCCTCACCTTTTTATTAATGCTCACTGCAGGAATCGCTAATTTTTTTCTTGATTATATATACATGACTCTCTCCACATAAATATTTTTCAGTTCACAGAAGATAGTTATTGTTTAGAAATGTAGGTAAATCCATGTGAGAAAAACATTAAGGTTCACAAATGTATTTCTGATGCGCACACACATTTCTTGACTTAAATCCCAACAACGCTCAAAATGACCAAAGCAACTACATAATCCCACCCAGATTTCTGTTCAGAGGGAGAGCAAAGAGCTATATGTGTTCTTAACATTATCAAAAAAAAGTAGGTTTAATTCTCTCTGGTATATTTCACAGGTTTGTGATGACAACGATGCTTCAGCCATCCAAGAGGCCCTCCCTTAGTTTGCACTCAACGTATTTGTGGACAAGAGAAATCAGGGAGGGAGGTCTTAAAAAGCAAGCTGGAATAGCCATCGCAGGAGCACTGGTCCTTTTTGGTGTTCCCATTGTAGGGCTTTCACCTACCTAATGGGCCTTTTAAGGTTTTTCAGAAGATCTTCGTGGAGCTGGAGGATGGGAACCAAAAATGTTCCCCAAAGTCCACGATCTCAAGGTCATCTTACTGGCCTAAATGCCATACAGACATTGTTGAAGGTGGAGGACTGAAAAACACACTTGTATGGGGGTATTTATGTTTCAATATTATTTGTGTGAACAGATGAGCGATCTGTGTGTAGATGTGTAATCGAAGTGTAAAAACACTTCGCACAAACACAAAATGAAGATTTGTAAACTCACAAATATTTTGCAAATAGAAAACAGAACTGCAAATACACAAATTCCACAAATAATAAAAATATCTGTGAATATATTAAATAGTTTACAAATAAGTGAACCACATTTGTTTAGGTAGCTGCAAAGGAGCATTGTTAATGGTTAATAAGTGCATAAATAAGAATATATTAGCCTTTATAAGGCAGTAATATAAACTTCTTACAGTCTGATTGTCAGTCATTGAAAATCCTATTAACATTGATAAGTGGTCTATAAACCTTTAACAAGTTTCTAATAAGTGCTCTTAAATATATACAAGTGTAATATCTTACAAGCAATAATAAATGTGTTTTAGGACATTACTAACACTCATTAAGTTCACTAATGCTAATAAACATCTTATTAAGGTTCATGAGGTATATATAACTTGTTAACATGTTTCTAATAAGAGCCTATAATTGTCTTATAAGCAATAATGTGTTAATTATGCTGTAACACTTATATTGACTTATTTATGTTTATAAGCAGCCTATAAGGTCTATAAGTGTCTTTTAACTATTAATTACTGCCTATTACAAGCACCTTCAAATACAGTGTTACTGTTAGTTCTTAATAATGAGATACTATTCTGCACAGGATTTTTTAACTATCTTGAGAGCTTTATGCTGGCGCTGCAACAATTTGATTAATTGATTGGTTGATCAGCAGAAAATAAATCGGTAACAATTTTGATAATCTGATATTATCTAAGCAGTTTCTCAGCAAGAATCTCAGGCTCCTGCTCATCAAATGTGAATATTTCCCTGTTTTTCATAAACTTCTATGACAGTAAACTGAGCCTCTTTGTCCGAATGGTCCAACAAAACAAGACATTTTAAAAAGTCACCACGGCTTTCAGAATAATTTCATAGCTCACCCCAGTATTTGTGCACAAAGGCCTCCAATCCATCCTTCACTGCCTTCCCCACATCAGGGTCCAGAGCAATCCATTCTGTCTTCTCCAGCTTCCAGACTAACGCTAGTACCTCCATCAACTGGCTGTGAAGATCCAGTGGCTCCAGAATGGCTCTGGAGATCTCCCTTCGCCTCGGGCTAACATGGCTGGTCACAGCATCAAGACCTTGTCCCTCATGCAGAATAAAACTATAGTAGCCTTTCAAAATCTCACTGAGGGCCTGCGGCTGTTCAGACGTAGGTAGGTTGGTGAGGTCCATGCCCAGTATAGCTCCATCCATGCCCCCATTAATAACAGCATTAGTTGCCAGAGTGGCAGCCCGAGACAGCTTGAACACCTTAGGGTGGTCCACACTGTCCCAGCACCCGTTAGGCCCCAGGCGATAAGATGGCGGGAAGTCCTGGAGGCTGAAGAAGGACAGGCCCAGCGTCCTGCCTAAGGTGAGAGGGAAGATCCCAACAGCTGGCGTCCCCTCCAACTTGGCTTTCAATCCCGATTCAATTCCTAGCAGTAAAGGTGCAAGGGCTACTGTGGTGCCATCTGGAGCGAGAACTACCCCACGTTCCTCTCCGTAATCTGTCACAATGTGGTGGATGGCCTTGTCAAAAAAGCTAAAGGATGAGGCATTGAGAATGGAAGTCTCCAGGGCCTCGCCATCACTGAGATTATTTGATGCACCCAAGAAATGGATTGTCATCACATCGTCGTGGCCGGCGGTCCTCCTCAGGGCCCTGACCAGAGCCAGAGGGGACAGCCCGGGGTTGGACTCTTCAACCTGCTGCACGGCTCGGATGAAGCTGTCCATGTTACGCAGGTGGACACCTGACAACCATACAAATTAGGGACAAAAAAAGTAAAGGAAGAACACTGAGTGCAATGATGAGTTGGTGATTGAACTCTTTTTCTTCATGTCACATTGTGACCCTTGCTGAATGACATTATTAAACACAATTTAACAACAACTTGTTTGTAGAAAGAAGGAAAGAGAACATAAATGAGGTTTCAAAATGGTTTTAATACCCTCCCAAATGTATGTGGCACAGTCAATGATACCTTGATGGCCATATTCAGATTACAGCTAAATTAGGGACAGTACAGAAATTACTGCAGTAGAGCGTAGGCCTGAACCAGGCCTGTTTTGATTTTTAGTAAAGCAAGGCCCTCCCCAGCATCATCAATATTTCCTGTGAACCCTTTGACTTAGAAAAAACTGCAACACCATTGGTTGATACAATTTGACTAATTTCAAATATAGAGAGATATATAGGAAGTCTCTCTGCCAATTAGATTTAGACTACCGAGACCAACAAGTCCTTCACATTAGACAACAAACTATACTGCTTGTCAGTGCCCCCCAGAACAACTCATATAGGGTGTTTTTTGATCTGACACCACTATGGACAAGATGACATCACTATTGATCATTTAGAAAAATCTTTTCACATAATGTTGCTTTTGAGCCATTTTCTCAAGTGACTAATGCCATTTAATATCATTTTTCTTTAAAAGACTCAAAAACACATGACCTCGTCTGAACCCAAACCCTACCACCACCCTCCCAATAATTGTTGTACAGTCCCTTCAGTTGGTGTTGTTGTATGGCAAACTGTTGTGGCCTTCTCTACTCTGCCTCCTTGACAGCTGATTCTTCAGATGGAAAATTACTAAACCAACATCTCATTGATGCTTGTTGGAGGAGATAATCTTAAGAACACAACTCAACCAGACAAATCTCCATAAATGTGTATAATGTAACAGGTTTCTTGTCCCTTCAGTATTTTTGTTTACATTATTTGATATTCATCTATTAGGGTGGATGTAGGCATTTGTTAATATCTGTATGTGTGATGAGTACATATGTAAAACTTCAATATTTGACTTATAAAATAGATGGGAAGCACAAGCTGCTCTTTCTTGAATTAAAGATGACAATCACAACATGACTGGTGGCCTAGAAAGAAAATATTACTTATCAGCATTCGAAAAAAGAAATCGTGTAGCCTAATGAAGAATTTAACACTGCTGAACACTACATTTTGAATGACATGAACTTACCTGCTGGCCTGCTATTAACAGTAAAGACGTAGGATAAAGCCAGAACAAAAAACGACATTCCCAATAAAGTCATGTTGCATCTCCTGCTTGTTGTCTCTGAAAAAAAGATTTCAGTTAAACAAAAAAATATTAATTTCTTTCTGTTTCCAAGCTGAATGAACAAGAGACGGTATCAAAGAATCTCTACAAAAACCCTTAACATGCAGGCTTTCCAAAAAAGTAAACTGAATGGCACAGTTGCACTCCACACAACTCCTGAGACGAGTTCTGTAGGTGTATAGGTGTACGTGCGCGACTGCAATGTTGTGTCCTAATAGGGAAGAGTACTCTTTGTACACTGACAGCTCCAAATATTGATTCAGCCTACAGTTAAGTTAAAGTGAGCCATGAGCAAAACAAAGTCTGGGCCCCTGCATAATGTTTATTACACTGATTACAAATAAGTGCTTTTTCTAATTATGTCACTCTTTCCCCACATGTTAGGTGGCCTTGTACAGCTTACTTTGTATGCAGTATACCATTCAATATATTAAGTGAATTTATTGTTAATGTTTACCATCTTAGCTGATGTGAACATCTGCTGTGTACTCACAAGTGTCATGAAACGTTTTAGTCACTGGTGATCACATAAACAGTCAACTACATGAACCTTTAATGCACGTGAAAACAAGAACTGTCCTGATTCTGTCATTTGAGGTGCCATAAAGCTGGCATCACAAAACTGGTGTTAAATTATCACTTAGGCTTCACTGACATATAGTTATAACATTTTGTCACAAAATTAAGGACATATTCCCTTCTTAGTAGTTTTATGCACTGATTGCAGTTTTATGAATGACCACATACACTTGTGTATAAGTGTAGGTTTCAAAATCATTGAGTAGCATTTTAATTTCAAAACCAATCACCTTCTGGAGATGATTGCCTTGTCATATATTGTGCATATTTTACAAGTTATGGTTATATAAAGGTTAGTAAAGTTTAAGATTAGTGGCTATTAAAAAATGTAACATTAAAAGTAAATTTGTGTTGTTAAGATATAAACCCACAGAGTTAAACCAATGAAGACATTTTTACAGTAATGCAACAATGCCTACAAGATAGGCCTATATCTAATACTTTTAAAGGGATTACTTTTATGTCCAAACTGCAGTTTATTAAGCCAAAACCATACGTGCAAAATTTTAACCAAAAGAAAAATCAAAGACAGGCCGACTAAATCAAAGTTGTGACATATATGTCAAAATCAAAAGATTGACTTACTTCTTATTTCGTAATGTCTCAGAATTTAATTTAACATTGTACAAGGTAGATACTTGCAAACTTAGCTTTGTCTATCGGTGTGTTATCTGAGTTTGGACAGTGGATGTTTTGAAAGTCCATGGTCTGGAGACAAGTAGCCTACGTCAAGAAATCAGGATCGATCACTGGTCATGTGACAAAGTTACGTTAATACTGGGAACTGGAAGTAATCAAAACGTCAACAAAAGCAGGTGTAGTAAGTGAGCATGTGAACTGTGAGGCTGTAGTGTGTCTTGTTGTGAACGCTGGAATGAAAAAATATCCCTGACACATTTACATTAGAAGCTTTATTAGCAGTTAGGTCCAGTCCAGCAGCTTGTGTCTCTAATGTAACTTCTTTCTCCCTTTGCACCGCAACAGCTGTTAATTTAATTATAATGGAGACTCGCTTCACCCCTGGCAAGTCTGCTGTTTTGAAGCGGCCTCTGTGCCGACCCAAAGCTGAGGTGAGTGTGAGCGCCTTCGACATTATGCGTGGTTTAAACACAAACGCGAACCAATCTCCCACTGCACTCCCTATGGCATTGAGATAACAACTTGTTTTAAGAGAAGTTACCTGGTTTTATTATTATTTACCTGATTCTAAAGCGGCAATCCTTCATTACCTCTTCCTTTAAAACACTGATATGTAGTTCATGAAACAAGTTTGATCTCTTTCAAAAGCAGGTTTAAAAAATCTCACTAGACTGGTGGTTTTTCCACTTGTTTTACGGTGGTACATTAAGCTGATTACTTAAGTAAAATGTTAAATTTGCATGAAATGGAGTAGGCCTATTTTCACATTGAGGAAAGCCTATTGATTCTTTTACCTAAGTAAATAGCCTACTACCCGCCTGGTTGTCAAGTCATAATAAACAGATAACAGAGGTGAAAGCGATGTGGTAAGAGAGGTGAAGAAGCAGACCGACCCTCCAAACAGAATCAACTTTATTGGACAAGTAGCCTATGCCTATGCAGACAAAGAATTTGACTCTGGTTTTGATATACCAAGAACAATGTACAGGAAGATACATTAAACCTAACGTTGGTGATCCTGTATATATTGTCTCAATATTTCAATCATATATCACGTGAAAGAGGCAGAGTTCTTCATTACAAGGCATTCAAGCATCATTGTATCAGGAGTATTTTAGATATGATGAAACAGTACAGTGATGCCTGTGGGATAAATAGTAGCAAAAAACCCAACAGATCTAGAGCACGATCTATAATGTCAAAAGATAAAAATTTATTCCTGCTGTAAAAAGTAATGATATAGTAATGTTTGCATTCTGCCTGTTTATAATAGTATTCCTGGGGCTGATCAGTCCTGTGCGTCATTGCCGCCTTTACAACTTTCCTCTGAGCAAACATGGTGTAAGCTCTGGCACTGCCAGTGCATCAATTACAATATGACATGTCCATTTATGATGTGAGATACAGTAGCAAAATTAACATCATAGTATTAAAATTGAAATAAAATTGGATAGTGGCAATTTCATCAACCTTTTATATCAACATTGTACTAATAAACTGTAGAAAACAAAATCAACACACCAAGGCTGCTGCTAACAATTAGGCTATTCTCATTGACGATTCATGTGTGGATTATTTTCTCGATTAATCGATTACATGTTTGATTTATAAAATGTCAGAAAATGGGGGTAAAAGATTGATCAGTGTTTCCCAAAGCCCATGATGGCATGCTCAAATATCTTGCTTTGTCCACAACCCAAAGATGTTCAGTTGACTGTCATACAGGAGCGAAGAAACCAGGAAATATTCACATTTAGGAAGCTAGAATCAGTGAAACTCAAACCAATTAATCAATTATCAAAACAGTTGCTGATTAGCTAGTAAGCTAATGGATAAATGGTTGCAGCTCTACAACACACAATGTGTTCACACCGTGCTGCTTTGCACCATGCAGGGTTTTTAAAAAAAAAACATACTTCCCTCATGGTGTTGTGGTGGCAGCAGGGTGCATATTTCAAAACCTCATCACATAAAACCAAAAACTATCTCCACAAACTTCTAACATTAGGGGTTTGGTAATGTTTTGATTTGTTTGGTAAACTGACCATTTGAAGCCCTATTATCGGGCCTTTTTTTCTTCTCCTTGATAACAACTCTTGTGGTGACTCTGAACCAAGTGCACATGGCAAAGTGCAACAGAAGGATGCATTTCAGTTCATAAAATGTCACAATCTTCCCCCAGTACATGGTTATCAGTATATCTTTTGCTCGGGAATTAATGGAAGTTTTGTACTGCCAGCCTGTGGGTGGCCTCCTGCTGTGGACTGCCAGACTAGATGTAAGCACAGATAGGCCTACAAGAAGTTTGTTGACAGATTTCCAGTGCAGTAAGGATTTTGATTGACAGACAAGCAGTAACATAGGTGCTTCTGCCAGCGCTGCACAGGCGGCCCTGAACTGGAAGAGCCAGATATTTTAACAGATTTATTCAGTCTGTGTAAAATCTAGTGGCACTGTCAATGGCCTGCTCCCTCTCCTGTTTGTCTGATTTCTATCAGCTGTGACCATCTGCACACTCCTCTGATCAAAGATGTGTGTGCAGTCGCCATTCGCCCATTGTCTGCATGAAATGTGAAGTGGTTGGATTCTTTTGGCTGTTTTTCATTCTTCTCACCGAGGCACGCAACTCCTGTCAAAGCACTTTGTAAACTCTTTTAGTATGAATAATGGGAATTAAATGAAACCTAAATACATAACAGCTAGCGTAGTGATAATTCCAGTGTGAACCTCCGCCTACATCCGTCATTTGCATTGTTCTGCACAGGTATCTGCGTGGAGAGCCTTGTTTGGCAAGGAGGCAGACGAGCTGGAGCGGGCCATCGAAAAAGAGCACCTCGTCAACGTGTACATCTCTGTTCCTAAGGAGAACAGCACCTCGAACCGTGCAGCCTTCACTGGAGTGATCCAGAGGCCATGCTTGCCCTCAGCAGCGTCCCCGCCAAGGTCACCGTCAACTGTCACAAGAGCTCCAAGCTCATGATCAAGTTATTTAGAAAAGCAAATAAATCACATTTATCAATCAATTATCAAAATTGTTGTTAATTATCATTCCCTCACTCAAGTAATAAATTAATGGACTAATCATCATTTCATCTCTAAAGAAGAACTATTGTATATTGTATTGAATGTATCTGTTACTCAAGAAATGTTTATTGATTTCACGCCTTTGCAGCGGAAACGCAGGGGACTTGTCGGGGCAAGTTCAGAATATGAACATCTCACTATTTATTTATCTGGAACAGCTGGTTAATCTTGTGCTGCTGATGGGGTTCTTGGTTTTTGTACAGCGTGTTAGGCTGACCCCTTCAATTTCCCAACAAAACAGCTGATGTAAAATCTTCCATTTCCCCATGTTGCCATATTAGTCAGATAAAACGTATGACTGCATCTCTTTTGGCCGGCATGATGGTACAAAAGCTGTATCCCTGTCAGACGGTCTACACATGTTTGTGTCGTGGGATCACCACAACACAGTCTAACGGGGATGCATCCCAAAGATTGGGCCGCTTTATTTGTGTCACACTTTAAGCCTGCAATGAAAGCACTGTGGTTGGAGAGTGTGTTTGTGCAATATAATGTTTAAACCTCTATTTAGCTCTGATCAAATGTAAATAAATACATAAGGGGATGTTTTTTTGGATAAAGATATGTGTTCTTGATCCCTGGGAATAACACTATTTAAATTTTATGCTTTCAGAAATCACGAGTGTTTTACCGTAAGAGATACTGCAACTGGAAAGTTACGTGTTGGGAAAGCAGGGAGTGATGGTGAGTCATTTGTCCAAGAAAAGAAAACTTCTCACTGCGCTCCTGTTTTCGAGTACCACGAATGTTTGATGGAAAAGTGTTTGACTAATGATACAGTTGAAGTCTGTTGCAGGAGATGGCCTGTTTTTGTATCTACACCTTTAAAAGCTTTGAGATTAATCTGGACTGAATTCACTAATGACTAAGATCTACTAGAAACTATATTATTGACATTTGACAGTCTCACCAGACTTCTTTGCAGAGTTTGTCCTTATTGATCGTGACAGAAAATAATTATAGATAAAGGCGACATCTTTTGTTTGTCTAACTATGTTGAGCGGTAACCTTCTCAGTTAGCGACCAGACAAACGGAAACACCTGTAAGGTCATCCAGCCCAACAGTCCTGTAATGAATACTATATTTATGAAACTTATTTTGAATTACAAACACATGTTGAAATTAAAAGTCTGTTGAAAATAATTCATACATGTATAGAAAAGCCTGCCTATCAGTTTATACTTCTGCCAAGGATGCGTTTGTTTTAATAATACTACATATTTAGAAGGTTTTAATTTGCTTCTGGGTCTGCATTGAGGACAGTAAATGCACATGAATACACACTGAGACAGACAGTCATTCACTTTTGTAGAATAACTTAAACCCGGTAATATTGGGAATTTGTGCAGTTATTAAGTCTCTCCCTGAATAATGGTTAGTTCAATTTATGTTACTTTGTGTATTAGATTTTGACAAATTTAAATGATTCGTGTAGGAGCAGTCACAGTGTATAAAAATACTAACTTTTTTAAAAATAGTAATGAATAACCCTATGTCAGGCCACAGAATATAACTTAACAAGTTGTAAATCGTGCCTTGCAGCGGATCGTTTGATAACTGTGGTGTAAATCAGGAGTCCTGGCACATGAGCAGAGAACTGCCAGTAGCATGGTCACGTGTTGTGAGGCACGTGACCTGCGGGACCGGAAGAGAGCCCGAGCTATTCACTTCTCCAGCTAACGGCAGCCCGCAGAGCCCATGAGCAGAGCAGCTCCACCCGGCTGCTGTTTCAGGACAGCTGTGTGCCGTGAGAGTTACAGTCGGGTACTCCGCGCTTTTAGCGGCATGCTTTTACATATTTATTGTTTTTTACAAGGTTAGCTACATGGCTGCGACGGGACACCAGCACTCCCCAGGTAATGTGTCTGCTGCCGACATTTAACGTTAAAATATAACCTCCGTCAACGTTAGGCATGACGCATTTGTCTTTTTACGAGTAGAGGTTGTTTGGCTGTTTATCTCCGTGATTTAAACCTGGAGTCTAAAATGTAGTTAACGTTGTTGTTCTGTGATCTTCTGAGCAGCTGCGCTACACTAACGTAACTCACCATCAGCAGCAGCAGCAAGTGTATTTCTCACAAACATCTTTGTCAACATCGGGGATTTTGCTGTGATGACACTATCAATCATCATGTCTTAATACAGAAAAAGGAGCAGCACCAGTCAGGCAGATATGTAACTGAATAACACAAAGGCGGTTAGACATCATCGCCTCCTTTTGATTGTCATAGCCGTTAAAAAACTAATAAACACCAGTTAGAGAGAGCTATTAAATTATTATTTTCTCCTAGAAGTCCTTGTATGTTGAAAGACTTTGTCAGCCTTCAGAGTCATTTTACAAAATAGAAAAGTGTGTTTACACTCTGCTACAGGTTTTATTTTTTAATTATTAATAGATTTAGACTACATTAGAGCTGAAATGATTGACACTGTATTATGATTTTGACAATGAATTAATCGCTTGATTCTATTTTCATGTCAAAAAAGTCAGTCACTTTTTCCAGGTTTTTTTATGTGATGGTTTGCTGCTTTCATCCATTTGTACAACACTATGAATCTATGCTGTTTCCCTATTTTCTGACATTTTTAGACAAAGTCATAGTTTGTTCAATCTTAAAAATAATTTACAGATTAACTGAAATGTAAAATAATCATCAGTTTCAGCCCTGGTAGTGTAGTTAGGGGGTTTTACCTTCAACTGCATGTATTGTGGACTATAATTAGGCATATACTGTAATTAGGTTAAAGCAGTGAGAAAACAAAATCAACAAACTGGGGCTGCTGCTAACAGTTATTCTCATTCACAATTCGTATGTTGATTATTTTCTCGATTAATCGATTACATGTTTGTCATGTTGGTCTATAAAATGTCAGAAAATTAGACTGTGGGTTTTCTTAGTCTAAAAGAGACTGTTGTCCACACTGTGTGCCCGTTAAGACCCAGCTGCTGCACCTCCATCCTACCCCCTTCAGCAAATCTACTAAATCAAAATGGCCCTACTGTCATGCATAATAATGGCTTTAACACCGTTTCATAAGCTCCTCTCACGCGTGGTTGAGTTTGAAGATTTTTGACAGATAGTTGATGTGGGTTGAATGACATAATAAGGCTCCACCGGTTCTAGTGCCCCTGTGTACTGTGAAGGATCTTAAGCTCATTGTGAAAGTTCTTGATCTTAGAAACAGTAGTTTGATGAGAGAGTTTTCCAAAGCTTTTAAGACTGTAAAATGCAGTTGAAAGCTCGGAAACTGTGAAAAGCTAGCAAGTGGACCTTACGTTACAGCTTGTGTTTTCCAGAGGCCTATACTACGAAGCAGAATTTGACCGTAGCGAGGTAACTTAAGGTTAAACCCTGGGTTTTCAGTCCTGCGACGGTGGTTCACCTGTTGCCCTCATGGTAACGTATGCTGAACTCCTAACCTGCTCCGGAGTAGGTTATGTTTGAGATGAGAGATCAACGCTATAAAAGCACTGGCAATCATTTTTCTTGAAAAATGGCAATATTTGTAGAAATAGGGTATATATTTATTGGCTGCTGTAGGTGATGCAGAGTTGCTTTTGTATACTCATATCATCCAACAGAGACTGATTGAAGCCTTGTACTTGTTGTACCTTTTTAAGACATGGTTTCATTTTGATTTTGATTTAATGCTAAATATAATGACCAAGCATTTTGTTATTCAAATTAAGTTTAATATGAATTTGTTTATTATAGCCAATAGGTTGCATTTATTTTTTTACATTATAGAGACTGGTCATGTAGCGCCACACCTTTTACTATTTGGGCGCGGGTAACTTGGGTCATTTTTCAGTAAACGTTACAGTGGAGTCTCTCCACAATGATTTGAGCACTTTTTATGGCATGGATGGACTTTTTGTTTCGTTGCTTAATTAATTAAAAGTTAATTTAGAACAATAATTGGAAAATTGTTGAGTGCGTTAAATAAATTAATCAGACTTTTGAAGTGACGAGAGGTTCTTGAAAGTGAGTTGGATCATAAACCCTGGTTTGACTTACTGAGTTGATAACTAGTGTCGTGTGACTTCATAGTATTTTGGTGGCAGTAGGGTGCATATCTCAAAACCTCTACACATAAAACCATCTCCACGAACTTCCAACATTAGGGGTAAGTAAAAAACGTATATAATTTTTTATGTTTGGTAATTTGGATAAACTGACCATTTACTCTTGTGTTGAAACTAGTGATAGATCGATTAATCTGTCTGGCCCATACCTGCACTCACGAAGTCGATAAACAAAAAATGTCTGCGGGGTGCGGATACATCTTCAGCCAGCCTCGTCAGTGTGGCTGCTGTGGAACGATGTTAGCTCACCTCTATGGAAAGGTGGTGAAAAGTTAGTCTCAAGCCCAATTTTTCTTCAGTCACCGTCTTCTTTTGTAAATGTTCCTAAATGACAGCAAATCCGTTCCATCTAAAACAACATGTTACTGCCTAAGATAACCGTGTATATTAGAGTTTACTCTGCGTGGAATAATGGCATTATGCGTGACTTTTCTTTGTTTTGATATTGGCATTACAGTATATATCAGCCATCGACCGCCATGCTCACTAAATATCTGCATCCGCAAAAGAAGGCTGCATTTCAGTTCATAAAAAAATCACAACCTTCCTCCAGTACATGGTTATCAGTATATCTTTTGCATTACATTACACTTATTAATTTAGCTGACACTTTTATCCAAAGCGACTTACAATTGCTATACATGTCAGAAGTCGCACGCCTCTGGAGCAACTAGGGATGAAGTATCTTGCTCAGGGACACAATGGTGGATGGGTCACAGTGGGGGATTGAACCCGGGTCTCTCACACCAAAGGCAGGCATCTTATCCATTGCGCCATCATCACCCCGTGCTCGGGCATTAGTGGAAGTTTTGTACTGCCAGCCTGTGGGTGGCCTCCTGCTGTGGACTGCCAGACAAGATGTAAGCACAGATACAAGAAGTTGTTGACAGATTTCCAGTGCAGTAAGGATTTTGATTGACAGACAAGCAGTAACATAGGTGCTTCTAACATAGGTGCTTCTGCCAGCGCTCCACAGGCGGCCCTGAACTGGAAGAGCCAGATATTTTAACAGATTTTATTCAGTCTGTGTCAAATCTAGTGGCACTGTCAATGGCCTGCTCCCTCTCCTGTTTGTCTGATTTCTATCAGCCGTGACCATCGGCACACTCTAATCAAAATGTGTGTGCAGTCGGCTTTCGCCTATTGTCTGCATGAAATGTGAAGTGGTTGGATTCTTTTGGCTGTTTTTCATTCTTCTCACCGAGGCACGCAAACCCGGTCAATCCCAGGGCACCCCGTCTTCCTTGTTTGTTAAAGAGTTGATTAAGATACTGTGACCTTCAGCAGATTTTGTAGTAAGCTAAGTGCTCATTTTGGATGTTATTCATATCACCCTAACAGCTAGAAATTCTCACAGGTTTAGAAACAGGTGTTGGATAATTTAGAAACTGATCCCTTTGAATGAGGGTTTGGTTTACTGCATGTGGTTATCATAAAACCTCAGGTCACCTCTTGTTTCCTGAAGTGGGTCATGCACAGTAGGCTAAGCTTACAGGCATTGAGCCAAAAACGAAGTAAAGATTTGAGATTTAATTTAAGAATAAACAATGTAAGGGTGTGACCAGGTAAACTGTTAAATCATTCGTTTTTTAAGATCTTTTAAAGCGTTGAGCAGGACAGTTAATGCCATGCTTTATTAAAGGCCCAAACTGTATTTTTATATTTGTTACATGAATTTAACTTTAAGAGGTACTCAGCCCATTTTATGCTTACCAGACCTCTGTAGGCATCTTGGCTTAAGGCTAGCAGCTCGAGACTACATAAGCCACTACCAGCATGACTCACCCAAATTCAGATCGAACTGTGGGTGGTTGTGTTGCGCTGTTGGTAATGTGGTCAAAGTTATGTAGCGTACTCTTTTAAACCATATACAGATACATAATTGAAGAGTTTCGAGAAGGATGATCAGCATTTTGTTAACTAAATATATTCAGAATATATGCCTCTTCTTTGTTTGCAAAAATGAACAATTAACTCTCTAGGCAAGAACTAAACACAAGGAATTAGCTTTCTGATGCTCTTAAATGTTTGTTCACATCAGTAATAGGCCAGTCCCATGAAGCATGGTTATTAAATTAGCTGGTTAAGCATTGCCCAGAACAGTCCACGTTTCAGATTTCAAACAAAAAATGCTGATTTCGCCTTTTAACAGTATCAGAAAATATCAATGACTTAGATGTTATTGTTGTATAATGTTTTTCTGTATTCATTTCAGAGCGAAAGCAGGTCCCATCCTTTGATTTGTGGTAGTGAGGTTGGTTTACATTTGTCTCAAGGATGGTTACTTATAAAAATAAGCATGTCCCCTCCATTTAGTTACAGTAGCCAAAATGATTCTCTTACAAACTAGTTTATAAAGAGGAAAACTTGAAAAATACCAATCATTAGTGTTGTAGTCAAACCAAACGCCCAAACCAAGACCAAGTTAAGACCAAGACCAGAGTTCATCGAGACCGAGACAAGACGAAGACTTTTAGGGGCTGAGGCCAAGTCGAGACCAAGACCGAGGGAGAGCGAGACCGGTTCCCCACATTACATGACGCACAATAAAATGTGGAAAGACATCATAGGTACTTCTCAAATTGATCTGAAAGATCCACATTGCCATTAAAACACCTACATACAAACCCTAAGAGCTGAAATCAACATAAGCATCACTATTGCCGGAAGGGGTGACAGTCGTTAACAGTAACACAATTTTAATTAGGGTTATTAGTTGCATTTCAAGCAGTACGTTTTACATCCAATCAAAGTTAGGATGTTAAAAAATTAATCAGATGATGCAAAAACAACTTATTGATATTCCCAAAGTTATGGTCTTGACTGGTGTTGAAATAAAATCCAGAGTCCTCAATTTCCGAGACAAGACCAACTACAAATGTGGTCAAGTCCAAGACAAGAACAAGACCATCAAAAAGTGATCGTGAGATCTAGATCGGTCTCGAGTACTACAACACTACCAGATGTTTTATTGTGGTGCCACAGAATAACACATGACGAGAATTAGAAATGCCAGTCCCCTTCTGTGTTGTTTTGTTGAACTTTCATCTTGTTTACAGTCACTGCTGGCTAATGTTGAACACTTGTTTTTTTTTTTTTTTTTTGTCGTTCCGTTTCACTTCTCATTTCCATTAAAAAACTCTGCTAAGCTGGTGGTTTGCTCTGCTGACTTATTGTGCCTGTTGAGTTTGGATTCATCCTGACTCAGCAGTTTATCTGACCTTGCACATGCTAACTTGGACTACATAGTAATACTTGTATAAGTTTCTCATGTCTGACAAATAAAGAACAGTAATCAAATGCTCTAAAATCACATGTTTGTATAGAAAGGACAACAGCCACCATGGCTAATCTAGTCCTGAGTTTATTTCCAACTCAACAAGTCATTTTCTGCATGTAAACTTCCTGACTGAACAAACTGACTGACCCCGTTGTTCGTTATTGGTCTGCCAAGCCAAAAGCATGTGACAAGTATTAAGCGTGTTAAGCCTACTTTTGTGATTTGTGGCTTTCCTACAGTGTTGTCGATTCCTCCAAAGACATGACATGTCCAGTGGTGGAAAGTAACTATGACATTTCTATGACCGCTGGAGTTAATTTACAGATTTTACAGTTTACAAACAAAACATATGATTAGTTTATAAGACATAATACTGTGTTATAGATTCAACTATCCAACAGTGTTATATAAAGTAGTTAAAATGTGCTCCACCTCCACCAGCTGTAACATTAAAACGCTGCTTAAGTGTTTAAGTATCAGTAATGGTATTCCAATGATTTGATATACAGTATATAACATTATAACCCTCTACCCAGCAAATACTTACTTTTTATACATTTTGCTGTTAATCCTTTTTGTTCTTTTACTTAAGTGAAATCTTGTATGTAGGAGTATTTTTTCAGAGTGGTGTTGCTACTTTTACTTTACTTATTAGTAAAACACGAGTACTTCTTCCACCATTGGACATGTTCACCAGCTTTGTTTTCCAACCATAAACTGTCTGTTGATTTAGCCATGTTTTTTTTGTTGTTTTTTTAACACAGGTTGTTTTTTTTTTTTTTGACTTTTTATGATGGAGATGTCTTTCAATAGAGACCTGAGAACAAGAAGCATTCATAGTCAGACAACCTTCATACTTAAATAACACAAAGAAGGCTTTAAAATCACCAAGGGGATTGAATGAATCTTTCTGCACAGTGCAGAAAGTAATTACAAAATGCAACCAAAGCACCTGAGGTAATAACCAATTAAAAATAGAGTGGTTGAATTGAAACCACAGTATATAACGGTTTTATAATAAAGGAAGAGTTTAATCAAACATTACATTAGTGTAATTTGATTTTAACTAAATACCCCCGATACTGTTGTATCTTGGATTTGGGAAAAATATCATATTATATTTTGCCTTTATTTTGTTCAGCTAAAGCCCCTGTCATAATGCTCAGTAGAATGTTATTGGTAGCTCGTTGTATTTCCCTGCCCTGCCCAAAAAGTGTGGTGGATTTAATTCTGTGTAACCATGTGCATACTCTCTTAAATTTCTTTTGTAACTCAGTCAGGCTAGATTTCTTCTGAGATTGGTCAGCTCTTACCTAACTGTCCCAGCAATCTGCCTGACCTTTTGTACTCGTCATATACTACACTGATATAAGCACTAATTAGCAGACATAAAACACTCTTCGAGAAAATAGATTTCACTGTCGCTGGTTGAAATAAATTTAAGACAAGTAGTGTAGCAGGGATTTCAGAAGTCAATCACACCCTAAATAAACCTGTAACAATAATCAGATATTGGCTGTTTTTGTACCTTGTACACTACAACATTTATCTCTATTAGTCCTTGTGGCTTTGGAATTAAAAGGGTTAAATTGCATGTGTAGCTGAGTTGAGCACATGTTCACAGTGCCAGAGGGGACAGAGAGGAGTACTATACACATTAGCAAGACTAAGAGAAGGTGTTGGACTGAGATTAAAAGCAGAAGACAGATTGCTCAGGCTCGGGCACACGTGTGCTGCTGACAGGATGCCGTCGCTCGAAGTAGCCTAGGCTGTGTCAATTAGCAGAAGCAAGAAATGAGTGGACAGAGCACTTCAGAGGACCAGTACAATTCATGTGATTTGGTGCCTTCCCTTTTCAGCCAGGTGTTATAGTCACAACTGCTGCCCTGCACAATAGGGATTGTTTTCCTGGTGCCCGTCTCCTAGTTTCGCCTAATTGCTGAATAACCATGGATATTTAATTTATCTTCGCTTTGACATTCTTTAGTGCCATGTGACCTACCTCCATTTAATCATGACTAAGAAAAATACTAATCGCTGACCTCACCTGAAACAAAGACCAATTCCATTAACTTAAAATACACAACACTAAAGTATTAAGCTTTTTATTGTGTTGACTGAGGGATAGTTACTTTAATTACTTAAGTTCTTAGAAAAGATCTGCATGAGCAACCCTTCGAAATTAAACGTTCCTTATTTTTTTTTCTTTCAGAACACGAAGGCCTGCGCTCCTCGGTGACTCATTACGGCTCCACAGACAGCAGCGGCGAGCATGACCATCAAATTAACAGTCACGGCAGCAACCATAATAACCATTGGTTTCCCACTGTGACGGCAGGCCATTGGCCCGGGGCTGATCAGGAGGAGGAGGCCATTCGCAGGAAGTTAAAATACTTCTTCATGAGCCCTTGTGATAAATTTCATGCCAAAGGCCGCAAGCCTTATAAGCTGGTCCTGCAGCTGCTCAAAATCGTTATTGTCACAGCTCAGGTATGTCACGTTACATCTAAACGTGTATATTGCTCTTTTGTTTTGTATGTACACTTTCTGTTAATCTGCTCTCTTGATTTAGATTAGTCTTTCCTTCCCAATCTGCTCTCTAAATCCTGTCGTATTTGTCTTTTTTTATATGTGAATACATGTAGGTTTAAGTTCTGACTCAGTTAGTGTGAACTTGGCCGAACTGACCAAAACTGTTATCTGATATCATAAAAGTGTGAACTCCTTCACGTAGACTGAGACTCAAAGGACAGATTGTTGTTACCTGAGGAATATGTGTTTTCCCTCCGCAGTCCAGGTTCATTATATAATTTTTGCTGACCTCCTATGTATTAATGTCTTTTTTGTAGCGCCTTTTAAAATGTCCTGACCCCAAATGCACTGATCCTTTTTTCAGCACAAACTCCATTATAATCCTGACGTATCGTATTTGTCAAGTATAAAGCTACCACTTAAAATATTAAAATACATGAAAAGTGACACAAGCGCATATAAAATCATTAGTGATGAAAATGTTATTATAGAACAGTTCAAAGTTGTAAAAGGTCTTGTTTCAACAATTTAAAATTTTAAGTAAAAATATTTTTTATCCCAACTCATTTTTGTGCATTTTTCATTGAAAGTCTACGTATGCTATTGTAAATTACTAATATTATTAGTAATTTATAATTTGAAAGAAAGATTATGATCTACAGATATATGAATGAGATACAGAGTGATACATTTTGCAGTCAGAAATGTAAACAGACATTCTGTTTTTATTTGTCAGGGCACAACTCTTATCTGGACAGATGGGAGCTGTCAGTGATTAATGAGGTGCTAAACCACACAGAGTTTATGTAATAGATGAGCCACAAATCATAGCGTAGTTCTAACAAAGCAACACACAGCCTGCAGTCTTAGGTATGCATATGGAACGTTCTTCTTCTTTGTCCACGCTCCTCCTCCCAACATATCTTTCTCCTTTTCCTCTGAACTGACAACTTTTTGAACACCCTCTCCTCTGTACTGCAGTTAGTGCTATTTGGCCTCAGTAACCAGGTGGTGGTGACCTTCAAGGAGGAGAACACGATGACCTTCAAGCACCTCTTCCTCAAAGACTACGATGAATCCTCAGATGGCTCCTTTGCTGTTTACACACAGAACGATGTCTACGACCACATCTTCTACGCCGTGGACCAGGTAAACCCTGAGGAAAATGGGAAAGTTCAGTCAACCAATTTTTAAACTTCATCTATTCACATGTAATCGTATAAGGTACAATCAAAGTGAAACGTTATCCTGCTTGTTCCTTCAATATGAGCATAAAAAAAGAGTTTAAATCAAATGGGAGTAGTAAGGAATGTGTGTATGATTGCGGGGGTGTCTGGGCCTCTTAGTCCTGATGTGTCAGGGATCTCCTTCCTGACTGCAACAGGGAGAAAAAGGGTAGCTGGGAGGATTCTCCTAAGCTTATTGTTGAAGCACCCTGTGTTAATATCCTTTAGACAGGGTAGAGCACCGCTTATTGTATGTTTAACCGAACAAACCACACTTTGCAGGGCCTTGCGGTCCTGTTTGGTGCTGTTTATACCAGGCGGTGATGTTCCACATGCTCCTGAGGGTGCAGAAGTAATTCCTAAGTATTTGAGGGGATACCCGGAATTTCCTCAAGTGTCTGAGGTGAAACAGTCTCTGCCTTATCTTTCTCACCACTCTGTCAGTATGCAGTGTCCTCCGTGATTTGGACACCACGGTAACTGAAGCGGGGCGGCACGGTGTTGCAGTGGTTAGCATTGTTGCCTCACAGCAAGAATGTCATGGGTTCAAACCCCGGTTGCCCCGGCCTTCCTGTGTGGAGTTTGCATGTTCTCCCCGTGTCTGCGTGGGTTCTCTCCGGGTGCTTCGGCTTCCTCCCACCGTCCAAAGACATGCGGCCTAGGTTGATAGGTGACCCTAAATTGTCCTTAGGTGTGAGCATGAGTGGTTGTCTGTCTATATGTGGCCCTGCGATGGACTGGCGACCGGTCCAGGGTGTACCCCGCCTTTCGCCCGATGTCAGCAATGGATGGTAACTGAAGCGGTCCACCCTCTACACTTGTTGATATTAATGCGGGCGTAGTCCTTCCCTGCTTCTTCCCAAAGTCCATTATGAGCTGCTTAGTCTTGCTGACGTTCAGGAGTAGGTTGTTGCCCTGACACCAGTGGATCAGGTCCTTTACTTACCTGTTCATTGGTGTCTGTGATCAGGCCCACCACAGCTGTGTCGTTGCAAACTCAATCTCATTATACAACCAACTGACAAATAAATGTAACCTGGACCTTGTGTCGGAGGTGAGTGCCACTGGGCGGTAGTTATTCAGGCAGGCGGGTGTTGTTTTCTTGGGCATAGGAATGATGGTGGACTTCTTGAAGCACGTGGGTATGACAGACTGAGCCAGGACTGGTTGAATATCATTGTCAACACCGGTGATAGTTGGTAAGTACATAGTTTGAGGACCCGCCCACTGATACCATCTGGTCCTGCTGCTTTTTTGGTATTCACACGCTTGAAAGTCCTTCTGGCATCATGCCGAGAGAGGGTGGTAAGTATGAACTTCAGAAGTGCTATCCACAAGCTGGATGAGGAACTAGTGTAAATGACTGTATTAGTATAATATATAAAAACAGTTGTTATATAACGTTACTATATTAATTATAATTTCATATAATAGTATACTATATAGCTTACCAATAGAATGATGTTAATTCCAGTTACAGCAGTTTAATTTTTGTGGTTTGTTTTCATTCACTAAATCCTTGTGCAAAAAAATGGCCTACATTTGTCTCTAATGTATTAATGCTATGTACATACTTGTCAATACTCATAATTGCATTTACTTTTTTTAACATTTATGCACAACGAATGGTACGGTTACGGTAGGTTTTAGTCTTTACTCACACACTGTGCTCATAAATAATTTTTCTGGTTCGCACATATCTATTTTTGGGGCATAAGCGAGTGACATGGTCGCACTGTAGAGACCTGGTCTATGCAGACTTTTGTATCAACTTATCCAATAGTTGTTGACAGGACCAAAGTCGTTGACAGAGCGATATTGCCTTCCCTAGATGGAGTTGTAGATGCTGTAATAAAGGTGTAGTAAAGAACAATTAATGATGGAGTCGCCAGTTAAATCATGAGTTGGATGTAGGATGAGAGAGTTTATTGTGATGCCCCCTCAAAAAAACCGTACACTTGACGTGCCTGGTCCCCTATTCAGTTAAATTCCAACAAGATCATTTAAAGGGTGGCTCAATGATGCCATGATGACCGTTGATCAGATGTTTGATGCAACAATTCGTGAGATATCTAAAGCAGAGCTAACAGTTTAAACTGTTAAAAGGAGTAAATCAATAAAGAAAAGATAATTTTATTGAATCGCTATACAAGTTAATAAAATAAGATTATGAGGATTATTAGGAATTATCCAAGGAGAAGGACATACAGCAAACCTTGCCGCAAAGTATGTGTCCCTGTGTCACAACCTGAGGGAAAGCGAGTGACTCAGCGATCTGTTGCACTCAGTGTTTGTTGCATGCCATGGTAAATCTTGTTACCTCTTGTTTATAGTTTGCGTTCTATCTGTATTTGTTTATTTTTTGTTGTTGTAACTTATAATTGCTCAACTGAATGGTCATTGCATTTATTCTTATGTTATATTCAAAAGTAAACTTATTTTGCTGCAAACTGCTTTGGCAACATTGTTTAAAAAACAGTCATGCCAATAAAGCATATTGAATTGAATATTAAGACCTACACCATAGACGCTGGCACTACAAGCAGAGACCACAGATTGAAGCAGCGTTCAGATTGTGAGTTCTACTACAGTTTTTTTTTTTTGTTTGGTTTTTTTATTTGCTAACATGCATTGGTCAAAACTGAAGTCACATTGTCAAAACTCTTCACACAGTGAGTGTGAATCATTTTTCATTGCTTTCACACAAAATGGTTAAGAACTGAAATCTGAGTGTATGCAGGAAATGTATTCTAGTAGAATTGGTTCAGGGGGTTGGTACATGAATTACAGGTTGGGCATTGTATCTCAAGTACCAGTGTTGGTGTGGAAACATTTGAGAGAAACTGTATTGCAGTAGGTACGTGACTATCTCCACCATCGCGGCTGCCGTCTTGGTTCCAACAGACGTAACTCGGGATTTTCCCTGACAACTTGCAGTGTTATGAAAATAATTGCTCCTGTTGGCTTGTTTTCTGTGGAACTTCCGGGTTCTGATTGATTACACCACCAGAAAAACCATAGATACCTCCTCGTTTCAAGTCTCTGTCTTTCCCGTTGAAATACTGGCATTTTGAGCAAGTCAAAGTTTGTCGGTCACAAAATTGTCTTGTTTTTTGCTGAAAGTGAGTAAAAACATTCTTTAAACTGTAATAGACATTTACTTTAGTTGCTAAACTACAAGTGAACGAATTTTCAGTGAATTTGAACGACGACCTTGGGAGTTTTATTGCCCGCAAAATCTGCTTCCATTGGCTAACAACGTAAGAAGCAGCCAGCAGAGTGTGCTTTAGCCGTGCCGCAGGGTCGCACCTTTTGCTTTGACTTCAGTGGAAAACAGAGGACAAAATAAAGTGACTACTTTTGGCTGTCAAATGACCAGTGTTTTGCAATTATTGAACCTATAAACATGGTCTTGGTATCATTTTAAAGGATATTTCAAGCTCTTTCTATCTGTACAATTTGTTTTAGCATTTAACCATGTTGAAAATTTTGTTCACATACCTAATTGCAGCACAGACGTTTTAGGAACCAGCTTCTTGTTTTTCACATGAAATTACTATATGCAATGATAAAGAAGAGGATATTGAAGCAAAATACTGCATTTCTGATTTATTCTTGTTACATATGTTATTTCATTCAATAAGTTCATAGTTTATGTATAATGCTCCCTGCTGGTGTTTTATGGTTAGTGTGTTATGAGTGACGATGTTTGCTTTCTGAGTGAGAACTGTTGCCAGTGTAAAACATTTTCAACTCCGTTATTCTCTTCTCATCCTCTCCCCAGTATCTGGCCTTACCAGAGACAACAGTGGGACGCTATGCATACGTCTATGATGTTGGTGTGAATGGCAGTGCGCTCTCTCTCTGCCAACAGTACTACAAGAAGGGAAGCATCGACCCAGCCAATGACACCTTCAGTATAGACCCACACGTCATCACAGGTACATAAATTACGCTGTGCAATGCTTTGTGGGTACAAAATCTTGCGTCAGAAATGCATGCAGTACAGTGTGATTTAAAAACATTTACAGTGGCAGTATAGCAATTTGCCACCACACCTATCGGGTCACAGAATCTGATGAGCCCAGAATACCGTGCAACACCTGATCTCATAATTATGAGATAGCAAGTCATAATTATGAGCTATGGAGGTCAAAATTATGAGATAAGGTCTAAATTTCAATAACATCCCTGGATGCATATAACTGTGCGTGGATCTGTTTCAGGCAGTTTATTGTCCTTTTCATGGTCTTTGATTTATAACTGTATATAAACATTTAATAAAAGGTTTATGACACACTATAGTGCAGGTGTAATCAGAGAAGTGTTTATTCATTTATCATCTTGTCTGTGGGCTCCTATATAGAAGTGTAGGCTGCTGTATAAATGGATAGAATACATTAATAAACACCTAAATTGTCCTCATATCTGCTTACAGCTACATTATAATGTGTTACAAACCATTATTCAAATGTTTTATACATTGATAAAAAATGCTAAATGTTAAACAGGGTTCCCACTCGTCCTGGAAAACCTGGAAATCTCCAGAGAGGAACATATTAGTGTTTGATGTGATCCTTCTCTGTCATACCAGCTAGATCATCACTGAAAATGTCCTGGAAAAATCCTGGAAAAATTATCTTTAGAAAAGAGTGGGAACCCTGTCAAAGTGTTACTGATTACTTTAAATGTCAAACACACAATTCCACTGAGAGAGGGTGCTGCATGCCCTCAGAGGTTCTTACTTCCTCAAATTAGTGTGTTTTTTAGTCCAGTTCGACCAAATTAAGAGGAAGAAAGAACCTTGGAAACAACCTCCTGTTAAAATCTTCATCTCAAATCACATGCTAGTCAAATGCTTCCTTGTGATCTGCCACTTCTAATAATTCTGCTAAAATTTAGATTGGATTTTTGTTGTACTCATGAATAGAGAGGAACAGCAAAACGTAAGAAACTGGAAATTGTGTTTTTCTTCCACCTCTCTTTGATTGTAACTTAAGTATTTGCCAGTATTTAATTTTCATGACTGTTCTCCATCTCCCCTCGACTGTCTTCAGACTGTATAGGTGTGAACCCGATGTCGGCCCCTAAAGCAGAGCTCATGAGTAGCTACAAGAACTTTACGCTCAAGTTCCACAAGTAAGGCTTCATTTTTCACATGGCTTCAACTTCTCCTTGTTTGGCCTCCATGGCTGAGATTTATCTCTGTAGTATCTGACAATGACGACATACAGCAAGTCACTTATCTTTGCTGCACACATGCACACTCAAGCATGTATACATGAACACTAACATGTTTCTGTAGAAAAACAAACGCAGAGGTATGCAAGTCAGTCATTCTGGCAACATGAAAAATCTGCTTCTGCCTCCCAAATATGTGTCTGTTTCTTTCTTAATTACCACCAATTTCTTTTTTTCAAGGTTTATTAATGTGACCATAGAGTTCCAATTGAAGGCGATTAATATACAGACCATCATCAACAATGAGATCCCAGACTGCTACACTTTTTACATAACGGTGAGCAATAAGGGCAAGGACATATGCATCCTTGGTCCAGAGGTAGAGTGGATTTTGGTTAGAGAGACTACCTTGCTCTCAAGGAGTTGATGGTTCAGTTTCTGGCAGTAATAAGTAATAAAATATCTAACCAGTAGCAGTGGCAAGTCCAGTTGCCCTTGATTTTAACCTTCCTTGGATAACTTTGACCTAAGGTGACTGAAAACCTTTCAAAAAGCAAGTATTTTTTTATTAGAGACATGTATATTACAGCAGCAATATATTGGCCTCTATTTTTATTACATACAGTCAAATTTGATAATATTTAGACCAAAAAAAAGAAATACGTCTAATTAACCTCCTCTTCGTGTCATTAAAGCCCCCAAATTACAGAAGACATGATCTTTGTGTTCTCAGTGATAGCTGCGACTGTGTGCAACAGTGTTTCAATGAAACATTGAAACCATTTTTCTATATTTCATTCTGCAAATTTCCTTTTCTGAAGTACTGCAGATTGAAAAGATATGAATTGTCTGCTGGTGGCCTCTCTCCTCCAGATAGTGTTCGACAACAAGGCTCACAGCGGCATGGTGAAGATCCGGTTAGAAAACCAGGCGTCCATAAAGGAGTGTAAAGACCCGAGCGTCTCTGGACATGGTGAGACGCCAGATGAGTGGCTGGATGGGAAAGAAAAGAGTAGAGAGCAGCAAGATGCATAACTTGTAGCAGTAGTTTGCAAATGAAAGATGATCATTCACTTTGTTACAAGCTAGCTAAAGTGTTACATGAGAATGTGTTACATGTTAAATGTTGCTCACAGTTACCATTACTGAATCAACAGGAAGTTTCACTTCGTGAAGTTATTTATACACCACCAGCAGCACTTTGCAGTCGTGATGTATTACTACTACATGTAACTGCAATACTGCTAACGGCTCTGCTTTCTCCCTTTTAACCCCCTAGCTGAGAACTACACACGTGTAGCGTTTGATGTTGCTGTGGCTCTGGTGTGCATGCTGTCACTGCTGCTGTGTGGACGCTCCATACTGCGAGGCATCATACTGCAACAGGTACGTTTCAATCGAAGGAAAACATACAACAGAATGCAGAGTAATTACCAGTCCATGCAGATTCATGGTTTAGATGGTAAGCCTTAAATAAAGGGAAAACGTGAGTATGCAGACTGAGGATGTAATAATTGTTTATTTACTGAATATGAATGTCCAGTCAGAAAACCTTTCACTACATGTTTACCTTCAAGCTTCACGTTCTGCTAATTCTTCTCTAACTGTCTCTGTTTGTCCCTTGTGTGTTAAACAGGAGTTTGTGCAGTTCTTTAGGGAAACTCTGGACCGTAAAGTCTGCTGGGCAGACCGGATGGAGTTCATTAACGGCTGGTATATCCTCCTTATCATCAGTGACATCCTCACCATCACTGGCAGCGTCATAAAAATCGGCATTGAGTCTAAGGTGTGTTGTGCTGACCCGTTACACCCACAAGTGACAGTGTCTGCTGCTTCTTGTGGTTAGCTGTACAGACATAAACAAGCTTTTAGCTGATACTAATTATCGACACAGCGATTGTCTTGCCGTGTGTTGATTGTGAAATTGTGCTGTCTGTATCCATGAAATATCTTTTCTTCTCTTCTGACAGAATATGTCCTCGTATGACTTGTGTGGCATCCTGTTGGGAACCTCCACGCTCTTGGTGTGGGTTGGGGTAATCCGTTACCTCACGTTCTTCCAAAAGTACAATGTAAGTCACAGATGGAGCAATAAAGTTCCTGTTGATTTAATAACTTGTCAAAAGGTGAGAACATTGTCCTTTTAATGGGTTGATGTGATTTATAGTATGTATTAAATCCGGTTGATCTAGTCCCTCTGCTCCCTTTCACATTGTAATTTCAATCTGTCTATTGTCTCTGTGCCTCCCATAGATCCTGATCGTGACACTTCGAGCGGCGTTCCCTAATGTGATTCGGTTCTGCTGCTGCGTGGCCGTCATCTATCTGGGCTACTGCTTCTGTGGCTGGATCGTCCTGGGACCATACCACGTCAAGGTGAACAAAACATAAACGTCTTGTAGACGGGTGTAATAATTTGGTGCAGTAAACCCACTTAAACCTGAAATAACATTTATTTTGGCTCTAGAGGAAACAAAATGTGAACACACCATAGGTATATTCTCATTTTTTTTAGTTGATGTGGCGAAGCTGTTAGCAAACAGTTGTTTATTTACACATCCAGCAGTTACAGAGCAAGTTTTTTTTTTATTCATTTAGAGCTGTGTTTTCCGACCACCTGGTGAATTTAAATCCAATACTAACTCTCTTTTCAGTGTCCGTCTGTCCTGAGCAGATAGTGTAAAGAACAGCTGCCTGCTGCAGTTGAAAACAGGTCTATGAGAGCCATGAGAGTGAACCGGAACAATAAAGTTTTTTTTTGTGGCCCAGCAGTCTAAACAATGAGCCGAAACTCGCTATAAAGCTCTGTAACAATGTTCACAATGATTTAATACCTTATTCGGATGAAAATATCAATTCTAGCAGCATTGAGTGAATACATTGTTATAAAAATTGCAGTCAACTATTTCTGTTCTAGCTTTATCTTTCCCTCAACGCTGCTGCTTTGCCCTCTTCACCTGTTTGTAAACATTCACATTTGTATTTACATCTACACTTACACTGACCGTGAAATTTATTTTCGGCCTGTAAGTAATTACACAAACAATTGTGGTATAAAGTTTTAAAAAACTAAGAGGTAAAAATAGCAGACAATAAAACATAGCATAACGATTCTCGATACAGACTGAAGCTACTGTTTATAACAATGACTCTTTTTAACAAAGTAACATTATATTTGTTCATTAAATTATTTTTAAACCTTGTTTAAAAGTAAGCTTTTAAACTGAACTGTCCTGCTCCACCAATTCTCTTTTAACTGAAAGACAAAGATTTTGTCAGCCCTTACCCTTTTTTTTCTTAAAAACAAACATTATGTGTTTTAAACACAAAGTAGTAATTTTTCTTTTTAACTTTATACCAGATTCTGTGAATTTAAGAGCCTTTAAAAACATTTTGTTGGTTCTTGATGAGGAATTTGGTTTACAAGTCTTAGGGCTCTCTTTTGAAGCATATGGAAAAGCACCTGTCCTATCAGCCTGAATCACAAAACCAGATTTCAACATGTCCTGTTTCTCAATAACTGTGGTGCCACAGATGAAGCCATTTTCCCTTATGAAACTTTTTGTGGATGCTTCTCTACCCACAGACCGTAACGCCGAAAATTGCACTTCCCCCCCAGTAGACATCCTGAGTTGCTGTTTTCAGAAAGTTACCTTACGATTTCAGTTTCTTAACTTTTTGCAGAGGTTTGATCGCTGATTTCTCCCCCTCAGTTCCGTTCTCTGTCCATGGTGTCCGAGTGCCTCTTCTCCCTCATTAACGGGGATGACATGTTCGTGACGTTCTCGGAGATGCAGGAGAGCAGTACTCTTGTTTGGCTGTTCAGCCAAGTTTACCTGTACACCTTCATCTCCCTCTTCATCTACATGGTGCTGTCACTTTTTATCGCTCTCATCACGGGAGCCTACGAGACCATCAAGGTAGGATATAGGGTTGACTTAAACTAGGTTATTATTTATGTTTTTTCTGACTGCCAGAATGGAGTCAGAGCAATATAAAAAAAAAAAAAAGAGAAGACACAGTAGAAGAATAGAATAAAAAAATAACTATGTATACTCGTTGATTTCCACAGCACCAAACCCAAGAAACCATCCACATCACAGATCTGCACGCCTTCATAGCAGAGTGTACGGATGCACCGAACTCTGGGAAGTTCAGGGGTCTGGAGCCCTCGCCCTGCTCCTTCTTCTGCTGCTGTGACAGGTGAGGAGGAGGAGAGGGTTTCACATTTATAAATACAATGCATTTCTACAACACGTTCGATAATTTTCTAACATACATTTTAAATATCTTTCAATAAATATCATCATTATATGACTCTAAATAGTAATATATAATTATGATGTAAAATATCATGACCATAAAATCGTAACATGAGCCACTTTTCTTGGTTTTCCCCCAGAACCACAACATATGAGGACGTCCTGCTGGTGAACTGAGGTTGACCTCGGTGACTCAGAAGCTCACTATCCTCCCCTGCTGGCCACAGGGAGACACTGCACGCTGCTGACCCCAGTCTCTCTGTACTGACATACACTGTATCTGGGTCAACCCTCAGCGCTCATTTGAAGGCAGAGTCACCGTCAGCTGGACCAGCACTCAGCAGAAGGAATGTGTCTTCTTATCGGACCTCTTATTTTTTTCCAGTCCTTGATTTCCACGATGAAGACACTGTGCTGATGCAGGACCGGACATTTCCTCTGTATGAATAGGACTCGGCAGCATCATGAATGACTAATGCACAGACATTTCTCTATTGCTTGTTGTTGTTTTTTTTGTTGTTTTGTAACAAAACAGTATTTGTTCTTATGTATTTGATAATGCACAACGCTCAACCTGGAATAGGACTTAAATGTCAGAATAATAAGTGGGTATAGGTACCATGTTGACGACTGCAGTAGTGTATACGTGGTACTGTTTTTATTTTTTTGTGTTTTTCCTTTTATAGAATTTTAAAATAGGTTACCTCTTGAGGGCATGGTTTTTAAATTGATACAATTAAATTGATAGCAATTGGCATTTATGCATCTCGCAAAACATATACCCGACAACAGATCATTTTTCTTACCCAGCTATTAGGGATGGGTTGGGATTTTCAAATTTTTTAATAGTTATTAAATTTTAAAGAATTTAATAGTTTATGCGACTATTATCTTATTTTTTCTTTTGTTTTTTCCAGCTCCTGGTAGCAGCACCACACTATCAGGCGTCTGTAAAATGTGTGTGGGACACGTTCACTTTAGCTGCAAGATGGGCTAGATGCTCAGGTTGCAGCCTAATGGTGTTACAGCCGTTTGTGATCGCTGTTGAATTTGGCCGTGAGAAAGAAGCCCTGTTTGATCGTCAGTGCTGCTCTAAAAATGTCAAGGATTTTGACAAACTGCATGACTTGGTACTGCTGGAAGAATTTGGAAATTGTTTGCCAGATAGAATTACTACTTACATCAACGAGTAGAAAGTATCCAAGGCATCTTGACGCAGCTGTCCTGGCAGATGAGTATGTCTGCATACACAGGGATACATCTGAAAAGTTCAGAGGAAATAAAGTTCCTGTTCACAGTGTGAACGCCACCACAATGTCTTGCTACCATCCTTCATCAGCAGCAGTTAATGTTCCTCTGTCTAGCGTTGGCTCAGCGCTAAAACAAAGTGTGGTGATATATCTAGATGTATGTTGCCAGCTACAAGCCAAGCTAAATTTGAAGAATGGTCAAATAGTTCCCAGTGACTATTGTGTAGTATTTTTGCTTGAAATGCCCATCCCTACCAGCTACTCATTATTTTGAAATACCATTATGTTCCTTTTACTCTAAATGTAGCCTATTATTTGCTACAAAAACGACAAATACAGTAGAATACACTGGCAAAATACACTAGTCATATCAGTTCACAATGGCACATGTAAATTCATACAGAATGAAGGAGATCCTTCTTTAGTAGTTTAACTCTTTTTATACAATCAGGGAGACGGCTTCACATGCAAATATTGGAAAACAGGACCACGAAGTGTGCGAAGTGTGAGGTTTCAGGTGTGGAATTGATTTTACTCTCCCGTGAGCTGTACCTACAGTATAAAGTTTCAAACTCCTCCATAGCTGTGGTCCGACTGTACAAGCATCGAGTTGCCTTCAGATGTGCCTCCATACTACTACTACTATAGTTGTTTTTATTGCTGTAGTAGATTGTGCGCTGTATTGCTTTAATCGGAGTAACAAACGGCATTCTTCACTAATGAAGCGCTCAACATTGCCTGTGGTTAGCTAGAACAGGGAAAGCTGCTCTCCAGACCCAAATGCATGTTTCTGTAATGATGCCAAAGTATGTCAAGAAACATAGAGTTCATCCACTGACGTTATAAAGGAAGAGCCTAGCATTTCTTTCTATACAACACTGATGGTAGTGTCTGACTTGTCATAAGTGAAAATTACTTGAATTGCCTTACAAAGTGGAGCAAGGTTTGGTGTGGACAACTGGAATAAATATAGAGTTAGTAGTACAAATGGTTCAGAATTTTCACTCCTTAAGATCTGTAGCTGTAGCGTTTGTGAGCAAATGAAAAAGATTTGTACAAAAAATTTCCAATATCTGATTGCCTAAAGAAGATTTGCAAAACGTTCACACAGAAGTCAATTGTATGTGTGAATCCCAAAATTACAGCTACGAATCCGATTTGCAAGTACAAATTATGACACAGCTTCACTTTTGACGCTATATTATTCCATGGTATAACAAGGAGACAACTTAATGATGGCAGAAGTATATTTGTAGCTCTGTCATAATGTCCTGTCCTGCTGAATCATATTGCTGCTGTAGTCCGTTTGTTTACTTTATAATGATGTCTTGACTGGATCTTGATTTAAATTTTTTTCTCTTTTGTAGCTCATAAAATGCACAATAGCTAAAGGAGTCTAACAGTCTGGACTGCAGTAGGTGTTTTCAGGAAAATAATTTCTTATGTGAAGGAAAGACGATCTCTGGTCCAAGCATGTATCATGGCCTTTACTTTAAATGGTATAACATGCATGTATATATTGTTTAGCATTACCATGTATCTTTCCTACAGTTTGAAGGTATCGTGTCTTTTATAAAAATGATCTGCACTTGGACTGTACTCGAAAAAATGCAAACATTAGACACATGAGTTGTCCTGAAGTCAGATACTTGGTGTCATATAATCTAATCACTGGTGATCTATGGATCACCTTTGATAATAAAGTTAATTTTGTGTCATGATCGAATTTAGTCTACAGTAATTTGACTATGGGTGCAGTTCCTCTGGATTGTCAGAAGAGGGAGCAGGTTGTTCATGTGTTGGTAACTGGTTCATGCGTTACACATTTATTTTTTTACTTTGTTGGCAGATAAAAAATGTACATTTAAAAGAAACTATGATTCTTTGATTTCAATCGAATACGCAGTCAAACACAGCCGTCGTGAATACTCTGCCTGTTTTTATGTGAGACGCTGCAGCACAGAGCGTTCAGAGAGGGGAAATTAGAATCTGGATCCTTTTTTTTTCTGAACAGTCCGATATGATGAGCTCATTTCCTGGTTATTGAGCTTCCCAAGCGAGGCTTGGCAGCTCATGTAGCACATCTTTGCTTTCCACCCACTTAACCTTATCCCATCATACATTATGTAGCTACTGCTCTGACGATGCCTTGATGGTTCATGTCAGACTGTGGGAGAGGGAAGCCAAGGTACAAGTCATTAATGCACCTCATAAAAATGTTTAACTCATAACTCATTTTCCTAGACTTTAGAGAATTGTCATTTTCACAGTGTTTCTGCACGATGTGTGTGTATATGTAGGATTTACTTTTGATGCACAATGAAAGCCCAAAAGTACTGACTTGCTCCAGAAGCTGCTTGTGGTCCATCAGTTGTAATTTCAGTGAGCTAATGTCAGGTGTGGTTGTTTGTTGATGCCAGTTTGATCTCCGCTTAAATTGAAATGTGCTCCAGTTACTCACTTGTGACTCTCTGTTTGAAGTTCAGGGCCTTTTATATTAACAAAGCACCTCAGATCAAAAAAGCAGAGCTGCAGCAGTTTCCTTTTCCTGTCGTATATATTGTAGGCTATATAATGAGTCACTGAATCTGCGGCTGCCTGTGTTTGTGTTTGGTGTGTCAGTCAGTCTTTCTGTCAGTGTGTGTGTGTGTGTGTGTGTGTGGGCTTGCGGAGTATGTTATGCCACAGGCAGTGTGTGCAGCTGTGCGGTGTTTGGGCAGATGGGTGACCAGTCCACACTGAAGAAACAGATTTAAAAGAAAACCAAGTCTGTGTATAAAAGCCTTGTAGATTATCAATCCATCCTAATTCTGTTACCAGAGCCCAGGGCTGAGCCGCACCCTTGTGTAACAACGTTATGAAGCAATCTGAAATGGACGGGCGGGATGTGAAGGGATCTAAAATGGTTTACTGACATACTTCTGATGGATCCACACCAAAGAGCAAGCTTCCTGTGGTTTTCTTGTTTTAAAATGATAAGACAACAAATTGAACTTTTTAAACTGCTCACTCGCAGCAAGTTTAAGAATTTGTGAAACTTTAGGCAGAGTGTTGGGTTTTCCCCCTCGCTCCGGCACAGGGGCCCCATCCAACTGGAAAGGCTGACGGAGCTGCTAATGAAACAGCTGCCAGAGTCCTGCAGAGAGCAGGGATGGAGAGCTGAGACATGACTCACAAACTCTCGCTCCTCACCGAGGCACGTGGAGACGGTGTACACTGACGAGTCCGCGGTTGATTATTTCTGGTAAGCCAATTCATTCCTCCCTTCACTCACAGTTTCTCTTTGCCAAAGGCCTTTCCTTTTAAATGTCTCCATTCTTTTGCCTGGTCTCTGAGTTTTATTAGAGAAAACAACAGTTAAAGTCAGATGTCTTGATCCATTCACTCTTTCTCTCTGTGAGTTGCTTAAGTCTTTGTGTGTCTTCTCCCTTTTCATTGATTTCTATTGTGGAGCCTGCAGCTGCAGCACAACATTTTTAAACAAACATTCATCTGGCAGCTAGTGTGGGCTTGTACCATAGGGAAATGGAGACACTGCTGATCTACAAGTAAAGAAAATGAACAATTTACATTTCAGAGAAACTTTCTTCACTCTGAAAGAATCTGTTTTATTCAGACATTCTCGAAACTATCCAAATCTCAGGAAGCAGGAAACAGGAACAGAAAACCCTTTGTGGCTTTGAAGAAAAAAAATTACCCATGCAACTTGGTGTCTCAAATTTCATTTTTAGCACAGAGAATTAACATGTTGACAGGGACAAGGCGTGTATGTGGAGCTTCATTGCTTTATCAGAGCTGCAGCTCCTGAACTTTTCATGACGTGATGCCCCCAGATAGAGATTCTTGGGGACCCGTATTTGATCCAGAATCAGAGAGAATCACACATGAAAATGTTGTTTCACATGGTAGAGCTGGTGTTCCATATGAGTTTACCAGCCACGTAATAATAGTGAACTTAAAAATAGTCACAAAGTGCTTCACATGGAAAATAATGAAACAAGCAATGCAAGCAAACAAGAAATTGAAATGCAAGGACAATAAAACAATGTCAAAAATGATGTTAAAGCACATTTTTGCCACTGCCTCCCGTTTGATAAAATATTATTGACATGAGTTTTTTATGTTGAATATAACTTGTATAACTGCAGGATCAGAAGTAGCCCTGGAGACTAGTGAAACTGCTACTTCCTCTTATCCTGTCATCTGTAGACTGAAAAACAGGATGAGCTCAGCTTGGGCTCAGAGACAAAAAATATATGTGCACTGTAAAATATATTTTAGTAATTTTACAATAAATTACTGGCTAATAATAGTAAATTCACAGTAGTATACAGTGATACAGATGAAAATCACAGTAATGTATTGTGACTCTGCAGTAACCAGACACAACAGTACTATAAAATTACAATATGATATTGTAAGTATTATCATAGTGGGGTCAAAGTGGGGGCAGGAGTTTGAAAGACTACTGGGTCAAAAGATATAGTGATATTAGTTACATTATGGGAAATATAGCATCCTGTGTTTTTGGAGTTTGACCCATAGCAGGGACAAAAAGCTGGTTAGGCTATATCTAACTCTACTGCTTTACTGAGTGAGTCATATAAATATACAGAAGTGCACTTCTAAATTGCTATAATACCCTTTTAACCACTGTTCACTGGATTCCCGTTTGACAATTGAGCTTGGGGCTATTTTGCTTATTATTATCAGACAAAATTATTTAGGGACAATATTTCCATATGTGAAAGGTATAATAAAAGCAAAGCGTCATTACGCCTACAATTAGCACTCTCTCTCCTTACATATTAAACAATATTAATCCTCCTCACTCCCCCATGACACTCTTCCTTGCACATTTAATGTGTCCGCGGCCCCCAGTTTGGGAACCCCCTCCCACCAAGCGCCATAACACAGACAGGACCACAGGACAGAGCTCGAGCTTGGTTTGAATTTAACGTCACTCCTGCTTTGCATAACCACCAGTCTCGCGCTTTTGATTGGACCGCTCACGGGATTTAATCTGCATTTTCGTTCACGACCGCCACGCTGCCCCTTCAATCTGCCGCCGGACTTCACCCCCCCCCCCCGCCCGGGTCCATCCTTCATGAAGGGAACCCGCCCGCTGCTGCTTAAACGTGGAGGGAAGGACGCGGAGAGGGACGCTCGCAGCTGACTGTTGTTACTGCGGTTAAAATTTACGGCTCTGTCGACACATTCAGAGCATTTTCACCACAGCGCTGGACCGAAAGGGAGGGATTGTTTCTTTCTGCAGAAGTCTTCAAGCTCCGAGTCGGCGGCGGTTGAAAAAGGTAACGTTTCTATGGTTTCTGTCGCGAAGTTAATGCTGCATCTCCTTCTCGTTTCTTTGTATTATTTTAACCGTAAAGCAAGCCTTCCTCAAATGACTGTCTAGCTTGAGGAAGCTTGTCTTTTTTTTTCGCCGTGTCTTTTAAATGAACCACACAGTATTTGTGCTGAAGCCCCCTCTTTGTAATGTGAATTTGCCAGTTTGTTGGTTGGATGTGGTGAAGAAATGTAACGTTAGCATGCCACGGGCCATGGATTCAGCGTGTTTTTACTCTTAAACGCCATTTTTGTGTATGTGCGTGTGTTACAGTGGCGCAAGACTCGACTGGCACTGTCTTGGTTGTAATCAGGTTGAATTTATTGCCTGGCTTCATGTGGTTTCTCTCCTCAAGCCGCCCCGGCGCACACCGCTATTGTTCTGTGAGGCTAAACCGGGGCCTTTTGCTAAACCAGGGAGACTTCAGCGTTTGTTCCCGGAGACAAATGCTGTTATTAAAGCTCCACTTGAGGCGTAAAAAACAACCAGAAACTCACGAAACAATGGCCACGAAAAGCGGGATCCTGGCTGGGGACACATAGGGTTCCTTGACATGGGCCCGACTAACACGAGGAGAGGAGGTGGGGAGAATAAAATCCACAAGTGTCCCATGTGTTTTAATGATTGTAGGAGTGCCTGTCCATGCGCCGACCGAAGAGATAAACGAGCTCCCAGTTGCTGTGGGTCATGAATATGTGTTTGTATAGATGCCCTTGTTTTTCATTTGATAGTCATGTTGCATCAGCATGACTTAATACAACACAGATGTACTAAGTAGCATCCACCTTCTGGTTTCTTGCCTGCACGCCCAAGTCATTCATCGCCTCCTCAGTTGTCACACCCAAGTCATTCTTGATTTGGCAGCGCAACATGAGAGAAAGGAGGGGAACGCATCTCTCTGCAGATCTCAGAGGTAGACGGATGCTCTATTGGCTCAGAGTCTACATTGCATATTCAGTGTGTTTTGGGCCGTCTGGGTGTGGTGGTTAGGGTGTGGGAGCAGTGAGGCTCTCCTTGGCTTCACAACGGTATTTGACATGCAGACAGTCACTGGGGGGGGAGTGTGTCTTCTGGAAACCCTCCTGCTACTGCTGCCAGGGAGTGTGAGTTGTTGCTGAGGAGTTTATCATCACCTGGGTGTGAAACAGAGTGTGAATGACACTCACGTGGTACCCCGTGGTAAGAAGTACTGTCAACACCAATGGCACATATAGACAACATGAAAAGCTATTGTATTTAACAGTGTTTTACAGCTCGTGTCTCTTGACTCTATAGAAGACTTACATGTCAGGTATTTAATAATCAAAGGTGATTAAAAACAAAAACAATGCTAAATTAGATTTTTGAGGGGGGTGTATACACCTCTGTTTCCCTTTCCT